TGTTTAACTGTTGTTCCATACCATTTTATGAGCATTAAACAGACAGATGTTTTGATCTGAAAGCCTACAGCTCCTCATGCTTGAGAGGTCTAGCAGAACATAATTAACAGTAGGTAAAACAGTCTTGACTGATGCTGATTAATTCGGCTCTTTTACTTTTGCCGTCTTAAGTGGTAAGAAGTTAAAGTACAGCAACTAAACTGTTTTGGACTCAGATGTGTTTGATTTGTTCCCCTCAGTTCCTGGCTGCCAGAATTTAACTGTGCTGGGGTGACAGATTGCCAAAACTATCCAATAAACAAGCTACTTGTGAGTTCATATGACTTTTATTTATAGGCCCCAGTTGGCTTGTAAGTGGGCAAAGTGAACCAAAATGAAGCAAACGCAGCAAAGTAAAATTTGTAGCAATGTTTGTAGCACAGAAAACAAACCAGGTGTGATTGTACCTTGAGATGCATAGTCATAAATCGGCCAATGAAGGTGTAATGTAATTAATCACATTAGGGAATATGCTGACAGCACACTCAAATTTAACAACTTTGCACATCTGCGATTTTTCATACTAAGAGATACCAGACATTGAACTGTGTTAGTATTTCTTATTGAATCTGTTTAAAAACTAAATAAATGGAAACGTGCAAACATTTTTATTTCACACACGTGGATTAGTTTTACCTATTTTCAGAACATATTTTAAAAAGAAGCGTGGCACTTTTGAGGGGAATATTACTTGGAATTAACACTCACACCCCCCGAGTGCAAGCTTTATATGAACAACTAAAAATGGTGATGAAGTTAGTTCTGAGTCCAGAAGCAATATTCTTGTTTTTGATCCCTGACACCTGTGTCTCTTGAGGAGGAGGAAGCCCTGCTGAGTGAGATGGATGTAACCGGCCAGGCCTTCGAGGACATGCAGGAGCAGAACAGCCGACTGCTGCAACAGTTACGGGAGAAGGACGATGCCAATTTCAAGCTGATGAGTGAGCGAATCAAATCCAACCAGATCTACAAGCTGCTGAAAGAGGAGAAGGAAGAGTTGGCTGACCAAGTTCTCACATTCAAAACCCAGGTGATGTGTAAATTCTTCACCTGGAAAATGCAGCATTGATTGTTTTCCTTGTATCAGGGCACTGATGCTTTAACTGTCACTCTCCAGGTGGATGCCCAGCTGCTGGTTGTGCAGAAGCTAGAAGAAAAAGAGGGCGTCCTCCAGAGCACACTTGCCGCTCTGGAAAAAGAGCTGTCTGTCCGGACACAAGCACTAGAGCTCAACAAGAGAAAGGTGATAAGAGAGATCTTATCAGCTGTTGCACTTAAGATTGTTGTCATATGTTCCTAAATATAAACAGCATCTTAAGAGGATCTGAACCGCAGCATGTGCTGAAAGTGATACTTCTACACTTCATCATTTCTGTGTTTTCAGGTGCTTGGGAACATTTCTGACATCCAAAATTTGTGGGGTTGTTTACTACAAAACATTGCATTAATGAGCTACATTGTTAGCAAATTAAACCCACCATCTGTCCTGATTCTCATACTCGCAGTTTTTGCGAGTAGTCAAGTGCCTGTTTGTGACATATTTCTTGTAGTTGCTAACGTTGCCCAAGTACCTGTTAAGACTGCATTTGTGCACTGGGGCACTGCTAGTGAGGTCATCTTGTTGCTTATGTAAATATGTTTCTTGAAATAGGAACAACCATGAATAATACAGTTAAAACTCACAGAAGTGGTCGCTTACTTTAACTGAAACCAGTGGATACCTGGAAGCCATGAAAGGGGATCTAAAAACATGGTATGCTGTGGAAAATGGCCGTCAGAGATGGAAAATACACACAGTCTGCAGTAAATAGCATAAAACGTGAAACCAGTAGTGCCATTGTTTAAGTTTGTACTCAATCAAATCTCTAAAGTTGAAGCACAAATAACAGACTCAGAATGTTTTATCCAAGCTTACTACTACCACTGCTACATTACAGCTCAGGAATCTCATCATTAGGTTGTTTTTTTTTATTGAGTGTGTCCGGTTCCTTCCCTGCTGCAGGCGGTGGAGGCTGCCCAGCTGGCAGAGGACCTGAAGGTGCAGCTGGAGCACACACAGGCCAAGCTTAAGGAGATCCAGGTCTCTGTGGCTGAGAACCGCACAGCCCGGGAGAGGGAGAGCAGCAACCTGAAACGAGCACAGGTATGTTGTATTTTAGTCTTGGGAAAATCACTCCATACTCTTTCCAGATTCACACGAGTTACTCCTGAAGTTCTGATTGGAAGATCACAATGAGGAGTCTGTCTCACACAACCCTTTCCCTGATGCTTTCTAGGAGGATCTGTCCAGGCTGAGACGGAAGCTGGAGAAACAGAAGAAGGTGGAGGTGTACTCTGACGCTGATGAGATCCTGCAGGAGGAGATCAACCAGTACAAGGTGAGAAAACGTTCTTGCGCGGAGAAATTTATGAATTTAATCAATATCTGTTAGTAGCAAGGGAGTTATAAAAACACCAGCAGCTTTCTGGCACAATCTGCAGCAGACTGTTGTCGACAGTGAAAAAGTAATATGTCTTAATGTAAAATAGTACACCTTTTGTAACTTCCTTGATTGGCTGGCAGTGGCAGTTTTTCATTCATGAGTATGGGCCAGAAAGTGAGCTCAAACCTGAAATTATTATAGTCGCTTTGTGCTTTGGGGATATCAAGAATTGTACTTGTTACACCCTCAAGTGTTAGCTATGGTACCATACAATGGATAGAGGTAATAACAATGTTGGCAAGGCAGCATTTGGCTCAAATACAATGTGTTTATCTGTCTCCAGGCCAAGCTGCGCTGCCCCTGCTGCAACACACGAGACAAGGAGACGGTGCTCACCAAGTGTTTCCACGTATTCTGCTACGAATGTCTGAAGATGCGTTACGACACCCGACAGAGGAAGTGCCCCAAGTGCAACTGTGCCTTCGGCGCCAACGACTTTCACCGCATCTACATCACCTAATTCACAGAGGGGCAGAGGAGTGAAAAGAGAAAACAGTAGACAGAACCAAAGGAGGGAAAAGAATAGAGAAAAGACAAAGGAACTGAAGATTTATTCAAAGAGGCAGACATTTTGGGGGATATCAGCTGAGTGTGTCTCCCCATTTTAATCTCTTTGGAAAGACTTGTTTTACATCATCATTGCCAGTTGGTGATTTAATTTGGTGACCAAACAGATATTTACACATCTGACTGAGAGTGTTGTGCTGTAGTTAATAAACGCAGTTGTTTGTGCACAAAGTGATATTCTTACATGTTGAGCTGCTCTGCACTGTTTTCCTTCTTGCCATGTTAAACAACCTCTTTTAACAAACTGGGCCCACTTTTAAATATGTCTTTTAGCTTTTTTTTTTTTTTTTTTTTTTAATGTATTGAAGAACTTGGAAGTGCAGTGGTACATGCTTGGTCTCCCTGAGGCGTTTCTTTGAATTGTTTTGTCCTGCTGGAAATCCTGTAAAATCAGTGAAGCTGAAATTTAAACAAAAATTAAAAGAAGCCATCCTTTACAGACTTGAGGATTGCATCTGTAAAGCTAAATATGTTTCTAATATATACAATTCAACAGTCACAATTGTCTAAACTTCCTTGGTTAGGCTATAGTATTAGCAATGCCTGAGAAGAATCAGCTAGTTTGGCACCCAGTCAGCACATACAGGAGTGTTTGGATCACCTTGGGCAAGGTCCTTTGTGTGTGTTCATCCTGTTGCCATGGTTCCTATTGGAGAGTTTGACACAACATCTGCAGCTTATAGTGCCTCATTACTGATGAAATCACTGCAGTGGAAAGTCAGCTCATATGGGTGTCCTTAGTGGGCCCTGCAGCTCCAGGTCCTCTTAGACCACTTTCCTAAAGGTTAGCCGTGACAGTCGAGTACAAAAACATCTGTTTAACAACATGCTTCTAGTCTAATTGAGCCAATGAAACTCCTTTTCCTCTGTTCTGATGATGTGAACTATTTACTGGGAGGTTGGTTAGCGTCTGTTTGACGTTAGCTCTTGTGGGAAAGGCAGTTCGCACCATGTAGCACACACATAAAAAAAAAGTTCCAGGCTGCAGAGAAAAAGAGTGAATATGTGAAAAAAAGAAAAAAAAAGTTTATCGTGCATTTGGGAACAGTTAAGTTAGACTTTTGGCAAAAGAAGAAGAATTGGTAATAATACATGGGCAGAGGTTGTTTACGCATATGAATGTGCATAACCTGTATAAATGAGTAGCAGTGCCAAGTGATCGTTTGTGTGCCACACAGCACAGATGTTGTCGTAGTAACTGATGGTCTTCATTAAAATATGAGACAATGCTGTGACATGGGGCCAACGTGATAGCACTCCGAGGCGTGCGTCCACTGGCTTTTGTTATTGCATATTTGTGCTGCAGCAGCAGGCAACACCCAACCCCAGACATTAATAACACCACCCAGCGTCAGGGACACACTCACTATTCAAATGTCAGTTTACCAAAAAGCAAAAGAGCATCACAGCTGTTTTGTATCTGCTCAGGGGCACTCGAGTGGACAAAGATAAAGCTTATCTGACTTTTAACTTTGAGCAGACTTTTCTTCCTCAGGCTTTAAAAGGCAGATTCTTCTCGTGAATGTCATCTGTTTTTGCCTCAGTTGCTGTTCCTCTTTTTTTTTTTTTTTTTTTTCTGTGTATGGGACCCACTCTCATGCCAGAGAGTTGTGTTTTTTGGCAGAAAGGACGGAATGACGTCGACAGGCGTGGTAATAACAATGAGAACACTATTAAGTCCAGACTACACAGACTCTCTGGTGAAAAAGGGAAGAAAAAAAAATGTGAAGGAAAAACCTGCAGGGTGTGGCCCATGAAATATGAAAAAATACATGTATCGAAACTACCTGAGGTGGTTTTAATTGAAACTTTCACTTGAAGTAAAGCAAATGAAACCACATTACTATGGTAGAGGAGTTTCCTGTGAGTCGGGGAGTGCGCACAAGAGAATCCGAGCAGTACAGTACATAGGAAATGACTCATAGGAGTTGAACTGTTAGCGTGGGTGTGTGCGCTATTAAAACAAGGCGCAGACTCCTCCGGGTGACTCACTCTGATGCTCGCTTTTCCATGCTGAAACCCAGCACGGATTGTTAATCAGATGAACTTTCGGGAATTGTGTAGCCGACAGCGAGAAGCTTTTTACCCGCAGACGACATGGCTTCAAACGCTCTCTGCGCGCTGTGCGGACTTATTATAGCGGCTGTGACCAATTTCTATGGTGTCAGCGCAGAGAAAAGTAAGTGAAATACCATTTTTCTCCCCCTAACAAAATTCATGTTTTTTATGTAAAATTCTTTTTATTGATTGCTCTGTCTTTTTTTTTTTTTTTAAATTTTATTCAAGTCCGAATTTGGGGTATCATTGTCTCCCCCGGTGAACATGGATTACAATTCTGGTGGTCTGTTCTCCCTATAATGGAGTCAGATAGTGGGTCTGCTTACAAAGCCGCTTCCTTTACCAGCTGCATTTCTCACCGGTTCCGCATTCCGATTGCCTTATTTCACCCCGTCCATCCGTGCCCCTGGGTGAGAAGGACAGGCTGCATGGAAAGTGTGAAGTGTCTGTGTCCGCTTCTGCACAAGGATACATGTTTACTGTCTCATAGGGAGGAAAAAAAGAGAGTTTTTCTGACTTTGTTTCCATAGCCGTCTGAAGTTTGGATTTAATCCCAGTGGAGAGCACCAGACGCGGATTGCACTGGGAACATTAAATCTTGAATAATTACATGGGTTAAGGACCATTTCCTCAGGCATTAAAGTTACCAAACGCATTTTAACACACTAAACTCAAAACATGCTCGATCTAGATTCTGTCCCGTGTGAAACCATCTCTACATCTGGACATCAGCTGCTGATCCACCCACCCCCTTTCCATTTGTGACAAATCACAGCACCCCCACACCCAAAAACACCCTTTGTCGGTCTAGGTGCTGAGATTTCTTAAAGTCTTCTGGTCAGGAACACAAGAAATGGCTTTAAACTCCCCAGTTTTTCGCTGCTGAACCATAAGAAACCTCTGTGACAGTTGATAACAGATGCTTAAAGTTTCCTCAAAGTTAAACTCAAGCTCAAAAACAAGGTTGGAATATTGTTTAATTTGCAGCTTTAGCAGGTTGTTGTCTGATCTGAGCAACCACTTCTTCTCAGATGTGGTTTGGGTCAGCCAGCAGTCAAGGTTCAGTTCTCCTTCCACTGACCTTTTGAACCCAGCTGGACTTGCTTGGATGATGTAGGGCTGAAATCATCATGAGAAATGCTTACAAGAACTGTGACACATTTTAACAGTGACCACAGCAATAAAATGAGTCAGTCAAGCTCTGTAGGCGGGCAGGCTATGGAGGACGGAGAGTCCTTTGGGGCCAGAACATGTGGCTCTAACATAACCAGAGAGTCACAGGTCAGAATGCCTCAAACATGAGTTTTTGAGCAGGTGCTTTTTGGCTGCAGCTGGTTTAATAACGACCTGTGTAATGTGACCAGCTAAAGACCCACACATACACCCTCTTAAACATTTGTGACTCAGGCTCAGGTTCAGCTCTTCCTGGATGTGTTTTGGTTGTGAGCGATAAGACAAAACAGGTGAATTGAATTAGAGTTTACACAATTAAAGGGGTGCTCCAGCAATTTAGTATTACACTCTCATAAGGTTTGGGAACTTACAAGAGACTGATTTTACTTATGGGTTAAACTCTAGAAACACTGGATCCTATATTTCCCATATGGCAACTTAATTGCATCTTTCATCAGACCCTCCTTGCCTCCTAAAGACCCACTTCTTTCAAACTCCATGCCTCTGGTGTGTAACAGTCTTTCTGTTGAGTCTTAAGCTCAAGACAGCGATAACCCAGATGACATCACTATGACATCATCAGGCTTACTCAGACGTTCGGCCGTCAGGACTGGTTTTTTTACTCCTCGGTTAAGTTTCTGCTTTTCTGTCTTAGTAAACTGAAACTCATTAGTTTGTCAGATAGAACAAGCACTTAGGTAGGGCTTTAGGACATTTTCACAATTTTTTATTAACAGATAGAACAAACAGCTGATTAATAGATAACTGAAAAGTTGCCAGTGGTAGAAACATTTAAGTACATTTACTCAAGCACTTGGCTTCAGTACAATTTTGAGGCACTTGTTCATGTTTATACTTCTACCCCATCAGGGGTAAATCTTCTATATTTATGTGACAGCTACAACTATTACTTGCCTTTTTGTTGAAGTTATATGCTTTATAATCATATAATACAATATACAACACATTTTTAAAGGTTTAACCTGTGGTTCGACATGTTTTTGGATGGTGACTCCTTACTAAAAAGCAGCGTGTTGGGGATCCTTGTCAGACGTAACAGTGGGCTTTAGGACATGTCTATGATTTATTAGCAGTTCCACCATTTCCCATGAGACATTTCCTCCATAGACTTCTCCAATGGTTTCATTGAAACTATTTAAGAGGTAAGATGTCTAATATTTCACAAAGTTTCCAAATTTGTGTATAACATATTTCCTACCCCATTAATCATCTTACGGCCCTCCATATTTATCTTGTGACCCACCAGAGGGGGCCAACCCCCAGGTTGGAAACCAGTGGACTATATTACTGCTCTCTAAAATTAACTCCACCTCAACCAGCTTCAACAGTAAAATGCTACATATGCACTGATGCAACAGTATTAATCCAATAATGTAACATATAATAATAATACACAGCTCACAAACCTTAAGAACATTTAGCTGTTAATATTTCTGTACAAGGTTTGAATGCAGGACTTTTACTTGTGTCCATCACTATGTTATTGCACTTCAGGAATCACACTTGACACCATATAATAGATAACATGTATATAGCTTTATGTGCAGCACTATGTTCTTTTCACTGACCGAAGATTGATCATCATCATTTTGTTTCTCAAATATCTGATTTGAAGTGATTTCCTTGTTTAATTTAATATATGTACCTGTAACCCTGTTATGTCTCCTATGGTTTCACACATCGTTTTAACTTGACTTTGTGATGCAAAGTTAGCTCTATTTCACAATATTCTTTACTTGTTGTTGTTACTGAAGCGGCCGCAGTTTCCTTCACACATTCATTTCATTGCTTTTGGTTTACGTCAAACTCGCCTCTGATAGTTTTGGTATTGCTCTCAGTGATGATTAAAGCAACCAGTCTGAACAGGAGACTTACCACTAATGATGACTCAATTTAGGCTGTTTCCTTGTTATAATGGACCAGTGTCAATGCAAATACATGTGTGACACAGATGAGGAAGAAAGATTATTATCATTTTATCGATCAAATATCTGTTTCCTTGTTACACTTACTGTAGCTGTGTCATTGTTTCATTCATCTTATTATGTTGTAAGATTGTTTTGTATTGGTGTTTTTTCAGCTTTCAGCTCACAAAATGTATGACTTCATGCACGACCCCGTGGTCTTAATGCATATGTGTCTCTTAACCAAAGTACCTGCAGAGAAAACCACACACTACACAACACAGCACTTTCTATCTGTGTTAACTGTGTCACATCTTCAGGCTAATTCCTTCCTTATCTTTTAGGAAGTGCACAGCTTTAATTGTTCATCTGTCTGGCCACCATAAAAGAGATGAAGCTTTCCATTGTGTCCACAGAGGTAGACATTTTCTCTCTGAGCTCAAACCGCCGTCGACTTCTTTCTCACAGACACATTCGTTCATTCTCTGGAAGTCACACACGTATACAGAAGCAAAACAATTCAGAGGAAGGGCACTTGTGTGAACACACATCCTGCTCTTCACACACTGCCTGCCCGTTCACGCAGCAGAGGTTACTGAGTAATTCTCCCTCACGCAATTAAGTTGCATCAGCAGCCTGACCCAAAGGAATTTCCCAGTTTCATTTTATGAGAAGAAGAAAGCCGCAAAGTTCTGCACGTGTTCTGTTCAAACCACACCTTTTTCTGTATTAGCTGATTCCTGCTAATTTTCTTTTGCATGTCACCTGGTTATAGTTTATTTTATTTTTGTTAAAGGTGCAGTGTGTAACATTTAGGAGGATGTATTGGCAGAAAACAAATATAATATTCATTGGTATGTTTTCATTCGTGTATAATCACCTGAATATAGGAACCGTTGTGTATTTGTTACTTTACAATGAGCAATTTGTATCTACAGACACTGCAGGTCGCCTTCCATGGAGCCCCCATGTTTAACTGTCATGTTTCTACAGTAGCCCAGAACAGACAAATTAAACACTGGCTGTGGACACAGCCTTTTGCATTTTTTTGACCAAAAGTTTCTCCAACACACTTCAGAGCCCAAATACAGACGCAAGCGGTGTTCAGTTAGATGCAATCTGCAACTTTATCGCTATATGCCATGAAATCCAACACACTGGCCCTTTCTGGAATATTGGACATTTGCATCGGTGTCTTAATATTAAGCAACCTTCACATTATAATATTTCATAGCCTGAAGCAGTGTTATATATTTCATTAATCATAAAGAAATGTCCAGTGCCCAGCTTTGACTCACTGTGTCCCTGTGAATGACTGAAAAATATGAACTAATAGATGATGTTGATGTTCTGTGTGCAGGTCAGTGCGGCAGTTCAGAGTTTTGGAACTCAGATTTGGACGTTTGTGTGCCGTGTGCATCATGCAAGCAGTACCCAAAGACCCCATCATGCAACACATGTAAGACAGTGAACTAGAAAATGTGAATTACTTTGTGCCATGGTTCAGTCTTACAGTGGCATCCTTTCATTCAATGCTGCAGTCTAAGTTGTTTTTGTACAATAAACAGGTAAATCTGTGGAGGAGACATCTGATGTGTGGAAGTTGGCAGCCATCACCAGTTTCTCAGTGCTGGCTGTCGTGCTGGTTGGTGCTGCGTTGATCATCGGGGTCATGGTGCATCGGCGCAAGTCACACAAGCGGCCTCTACGTGGTGAGATTCTTTCAAGATTTTCTGAGATGTACAAGCGCAGCAGAAATATTGTTTTTATGTAAAAAGGCGCCTAAATCACAAATAATGGCTGGAATTGAAAAGTATCTTATGTTCCCAAACTGAAAGTGTAATCTAATTCTCTTTGACAAAACAAAATTGCAGTGTCAAGTGTAGTCTTTCCTCCACCAACAGGAGGTGACAGATGTGAACTTTATGGGATCTGTTTGTATTAGTTCCTCATGCTGCTCTGGAATCCCAGAAAAGAAAGGTTTTCCTCGGTGCCTTATTTTGTGTTTTGATTTGCGTTTGGAGTATTTGGAGATTTGTGTGACGTTAAAGGAAAACATGGATGAGTTATTGATGACAAATATTACTTTAGGGTTGGGTAATCTTTTAAAAATCATGTCACCTCCCTGGTGCAAAGCGTTTCTCGGTAAACACGTTCACGCTGTGTGCGGTTCACTTTTTTTTGGTATGAAGACTTTTGCAGCTGCGTCACAAACAAAAAAATGGCACAGAAAATAACTTTCTTCTGTTCACTGATATTGAGAGACAATAGGCCTCTTTTTTTACAGAAGCCATTTCAACGCGTCACAGTAGGAAAAGCACAGGTGCAAACAATTAAATGAATGATGAATTCCATTCAGCTGCTTCAGCTTCAGGGTCCTGTTATTGTGTTTGCTGGCTCACTGTCACAGTCACGGCTAACTGGGACTCAGCCATCATTAATGTTTTTGTTAATGCTTTTGCTACCATGACAAGTGAAAATTTCTGCTGTGAAGAAGGTCTATTACAGATAATTTAGATATGCAGTCACTTTGCTAGGATGGGAATAAGCTCATTTCTGTCTTGCTTTCTTACAGAACCCATTGAAGAAACAGCAGGGCCACTTTATCAAGCTTAAACATTTCAGTAAGTATCATTTTCACTTTGTCATAACAAGGGTTTGACTAATATATGACACCTGCTGACCTGCATTATAGAAGAACTACGTCATGTAAAGTGTCAGTCTACAGGTGTTTTAGAGACTTTTTGGCCATACAAAAAAACCCCAAACATTTTCTTTTTTAAGTTTAACCACATAGTTTTTGTTATTTGGCACATAACAATTACTACAAAGTTCTTGAATACCAGGAAGTTTTTTATGTAGGTGTTGGATCAAAAACTATAGAAAAAATAAGGATATAAATTTGAAGATATTAAGTTCAACTGATGAAGGTTTGAGGACCAAAATGTAATGAATCAACAGCGTGCTTGTTTTTTGGGGGTTTTTTTGGGGTTCTTTCAGTTGTGATTTGGCCTGGTTTGATTGTAAAGAACTAAATGTCAACAGCTTCAATACTAAAATATAACTCATATCATATCATTGGACATAACGTGAATGTAAAGAGAACTTAATGGTTGTCATGGCCTCCACAGCCTCATCTTCCTCTGGAAACAGATGTGACAGAAGGAGCGACTGGTTCAGAGCCGGATGGAGGAACCTCTGGACCACGAACTGTATACTCTGACTGCAGGGTATCTCTTGACCAGAATTGGACCATTTTTATTTATTAGACTGTTGAGTGCAGAGACATGCTCAGTTCTCACGCTCTGTGAAGGTCTAACAGTGACCACAGGACTTAACAACGAGCAACTCTCACACCTCTGTAGGAATAGTAACAACATTATATTAGTGGTATAGTTTTAAAGATTTAGCGTGCCTTTTATATTCCACTTAAATAAGATGTTGATCTGGGTTTACAGATGTTTGATTCAGAAGTAAGAAAAAACTACAGTCCTTTCCTCAGAGAGATGGATGCTTTCCAAATCCTGTATTGTGCTGTTCTCCAGCAGGACTCCAATGAATGTAACACAGCTACTGCTGCCTGCTGGGCTGCAGTTTGATCTCCTGCTATTCAGTATGGGTTAGACGGGGTCTCTCTGCCGGTCCTTTACCACAACAGCCTCTTAAAAGATAAATCAACATGTGAATAAGACATACAGTTAGGCACATTAAGGCCATTTGAATGTAGCTACTTTTATAGTAGTTCTTTTAGTAGCCTCACACAGTGATAAAGCTGTTGATTTAAGGGAGCAAACTGTACTCGTTCACTGTTACCGGGTCTCCTGAGACCAACACAGACCCTGTTTTGCAGGTCATTACAATATTGTCTTGTCTGTTTTAATGTTACTAGGTTTTTAAGGATGATTTTTCTCTATCACAACCCCAGAATTCGCACGTCAATGTCCCAGCGCTTGTAGGGTAGGATGTTTGAAACACTAGACATACAATCTCAAACTGCTAACACGTGGGAATGCTGCGAGGAATGTACTGTAGTGAAGAAAATTACACCTACAGTGTTTTTAGGTGGAGTTACACAATCCCTATGCTTGCCAACTCTTGACCTGTCGTTTCAGATCTGCCACAAGGCAAACAGATGTGTGTCTAGTTGTCTGTTTGTAATTTTGTAGCCATTGAAACCAGCGAGACCATGGTGGGCTGGGTTGTTGTTTTTCACTTTTTTATAGCTCAAGATGTTGTTTATCTTCCAAACATCATGCATTATGTGGTTACTGAGATATTTAATGTGACTGACAATGTTTCAGGTCATATTTTTGGATCTGTCTGCTTGTGGGTAAACTGCCTGCCCTCTGGCAGAAAAATCACTTAGAATACAGATACTTCCTTACTTCTTTAGATTTTTATATTATTTATTTGAAAGTATCTCGCAGTGTTGTTTTTTCATCGACTGCGAATGACAAGCACAGTTTTAAAGGGACTCCAGTGAAGATTTGTGTTAAACTTCCGCCAGGCCAGCCAACGACGATACTGAGCAATAACTAACATTTCCTGCTTATTTCTCTTGCTTTCTATTTCTAATTGTATATACTGTACATGCACTGGCTTCTTTTACTTAATGCAATCTTATAAACTTCTTTGTGTACCAAATGTATTTTCACAATAAAACTGACAACTTCCGATAATAATGCAAGTCTGATTGTTACGCTAACTGAAAAAATGGCTTTTTCTTAAACAGCTTACATTCACTCATTTGGGAAAATATGGACAAGAAACAAACACACTGTATTTTCCAAGTCTTTTAATTAATTTCAACTAGTTTTATTTTCAATAGTTTGCTTATATTCTAAACTAAGTTCTAACAAAGAAGTAAAAATCTACGTTTCAGAGTGACAAAATAGTTATATAAATATGAATTAAATAGTGAGCAGACATTTTTGAGCACTGAAAATCCAATAAATCAACATGTGGTATATGTTTTTTTTTATTACACAATAGCTAATCTAGAACTTTTCTCTTGCTGAAGAAAATCTTGCCAGGAACGTACAGAGATCCAACCGATACTTCTAATATTTACAGAGAGAGCTCTGAGATTAACACACGTCACGAATATCAGGCTGTGATTGTGATCAATGACAGAGGAGTGAACGTGTTAAGTGCCACAGGAGATCAGATGGAGAACATTGTAAAAAAATAAGTCGGTTTGAACTCAAATGTGCGTGTGTCCTTTTACATGTAGGCTACCATGGCATACGAAAATATGTTACAGTGAGATCATCTAAATCATTACAATTAATACACATTTAACGGCAGATGGCAAGTTGTCATGGTGTTTCAAGGCTATTGTAAGTATACTGAATCTGATGCCACTGTACTCTATACAATGGGAAGACAAAACAGATGAGATGGACTCTTGCACTGAAACAATACTTTCAGCATATTGCTTAAATATTACGACCCGCAAACTAGCTGAGGTGAACTATCGAACAGCCAGACTTGTTGCCGGTCGACATCCCGACAAACGGCGACAGGCTGGCTGCATTATTTTAGACTTCCTGTCCTCCATAGGCTACAAGTGTCTCATCTACAGATGTGCAAATATAACTCTGAAACAACAAACTGCAGAGAAACAACCATGTTATGGAGAAAACAGCATCTGCAAACTACAAAGTAAAACCTTAAAATTGATGCTTCATCCATTCTATTTGTTTTACAATTGATAACTTATCTGAATTTCTATGATTACAGTGTATTCTCTACATTTAAGCTGCATGAGGCATTAAGTAGCAGTTGCTAGGTAGGCAGGGCTTTCCATGAGGTATTTCATACTTCTGACCAGTGCCAAACACACTCATACATGAAATGTATGTATAAGGCATAAAGAAAATCTAATTTTAGATTGTTATAAAAAAAAAAAAACGGCCATGCATTCACTTTTGCTAGATTTCTTGGTTTGTGTGAAGAAACCACTTCAGGAACAACAGGCACGATAGACAACTTAGCTACAAAGAATAACCCAGAGAATCAACAATTGCACATTTTTCACAGAACATAAGTGGTTCATGAACTCGATAGTGAAGGTGAAACTGGTTCATTGTTGTAAATCCATAAAGCTCTGGTATATTTCTAGTAATACTTGTGCTCGGCAAAAATTAGGCATTTTTGGCCACATATTTGTCTGAAAATACATAGTCATTCTATTTAAATTGATAAAGCATCCGAGAGGGAAGAAAAGTCATGGAGGCAAAAAGGAATCGCTTTCACCTCACTGTTGCAATACTTTTGTTATCGACTGCTTTAAGACATGTTTACTGTTTGTGGCTGAGGAGATTCACAAATCTAAAAGAAAATCTAATTGTGACATTATAAAATCAACATTGTGGTTTTACAGTATAACAAGTAGATTGGGAGGTTTGTTCACATTAAACTGCTACAGTTGACTTACACTTTAGGCACTGGCACTTTGACATAACTGATGGATCATAATTCGACAGTATGTGCTGCAAGTGGAGCTGCAACTAAATGTGGGAGTGACAACTGTTACGTGAGCTAAATTATAATAGTATTGAAATGGCACAAGTGAAAAATAAATGCTATGCTCAGTTCCGAAACTGATTATCTACAATGTTTTCCACATCAGGTATGTTCCTTTTGAAGGTTTCCCCTGAGTGCTGCCAATAATGCTTGGCTCATTCATTCCTGCCTGTTGTAACTGAGAACGAAGAAGTAAATACAAATCGACTGATGAAGTTCCTTAAAGGCTACATGAGTTTTAGAAGACATTTTTTTTTACAACATTCATAAAAAGTTTTCCTAATAAAATATGCACATAAAATAAGAGGAATAAATTAATAAATACATCCATTTTAGCATACAATGTCACTCAACGTGAATATTATTAGCAGTACGACTATTTACTTGATAATATGATTTCAGTAAATCACTTTGCCACTGACCTTTGGACACACCCAGAGGTATTTTGACTTTATAATAACAGGCTTGCCCTATGTGAAATCCCAAAGGAGAGTGAGCAGTCCTTTGACACTGACGGCAAAGCTAACAAAAGGATTCAGAGATAAATATAGTTTGTATATTTTTGTTTCCTAAGGAACTTACAGAGGCACTGAACACAATTATACATAGCAAGAGAGGAGAGATCACCGTTAGAACAGTACTGTCTTACAAAAACAAGTTATCAGTGTTAATGTTCATACATGGACCTGGGCTGCACTTTTCTGGTCACTTTGGTTGGTTGGTTTGTCATTGAGGAGGAATGAGCGGTGACTAATATTTTCATCACCGCCCTGTCATTCTGGGATCCTGTGTATTCATGGAAAACATTCAGGCCTTATTAAAATGATACACCGATAAACCCTATGGAGACTTTTCAGCGATGTCACCATCTGTTGTGGAGGTAAGACTGGAAGTCTGTAATGAAATATGCATGTCTTCAAAGGAGCTTTTGTCAGGTCCAAGGAGCACTTTCTGAAAAAAAGATTACTGTTTTACAATTATTGATAGAGGGATGAATAACAGATAAATAAGAAGACCACCTGGCCTCTTCTCTTGTACACTCTTGAATCCTACTTCAAAGGAAAGACCCCATGTCCAAGTCCATAAACGTGTTAGCATCCATGCTAAAAGAGGAGTCGTAGGTCTGGGTGTTCTGGTGCATCTTCTGATGATGTCGCAGGTTGGACTTGCTGGAAAAGCTCTTGTCGCACAGCAGGCAGGCGAAGGGCTTCTCTTTGGTGTGGATCCGTCTGTGACATATGAGCTGAGTGGACACGCGGAAGGCCTTTCCGCACTCCAGACACTGGTAGCGCTTGGGCTCCGTGTGAATGCGCCGGTGGTTCTTGAGAGCCATCAGGTTGGTGAACTCTTTCTGGCAGACGGAGCAGAAGAAGGAGCCCGTCTTGTGGCTGTTCTTGTGGTTAAGGAGGGAGCCGGCGTGGCGGTAAGTGCGGCCACAGTGCTCGCAGACGTGGCTCTTCTCTTCTGTGCCAGCGGAATCGTTGCTCTTCTGCGAATTAGCAATGCTTTCTGGAATATGGGACAGAGGTGGTGGAACCTGCTTGTGCATCTCGTCCATCCCAATGGCCTGATTTATTCCTGAGTCCCAGCAGATGTTGTTATCTACAGGTTCCTCCACTCCTTGTTGATAGGGGTCCTGAGCCCTGTGGTGCAAGTCCTGGTGCTGCTGGTAGCTGGCTGTGTTGGGAAAACTCTGCTGGCAGAGGCTGCAGACAACGGGCCGGTCCTTCGAGTGCACCTCTATGTGGCTCTGCAGGTGTGTGACCAGACAGAAGGTCTTGCCGCACTCGGGGCAGCAGTGACGCCTCATCTGGGAGTGTATCTGTAGAGTGAGAGGATCAGGAAATGTCTGGAGACACAAGGTACAGTGGTGGAGGTTTTCGGAGTGGGTCTTTTTATGGTTGAGGAGAGAGCCAGCGTGACGGTAGGAGCGCCCACACAGGTCACACCTGCAGCAGGGATATGTTCATATTCAAAACGTAACAATACACTTCAACTCAAATCATTTGACCCAACAGTGAATTATTCATAAACCAGAAAATGACTCATAATATTACTTTAATATTTGTAAAAGTCTGATAATACTGAATTTTTGAGGTTGATGCCAATTGTTTAAAGGTCAGTTGACAGTTGGCTGATAACATTAACACATAAAATAAACACTGCTGATAAGAACACTTAAAATTTGTTTTAAAGTATTGTAATCAAGGTCAGTACTGAGCAGGACATTTCACAGTTAGATATTTGTTTTCAGAGTTTTAGCGTTTCTGTACTGTATTCCTGGTAATTTATCAGGCAACATATGCACTGAAACAGATATATCTGCAGTTAGCTCATATTGTTCTGGCAAATGTGTCAAGTCAGGTCTGGACAGCTTTGTTAAACAAATACAAAAAATATTAAAAAAACAAAAACAAATGATGACTAATAGACAAAATAAGATGCTGGGTTCACAATAAAGACTAATAACTCACATGAAGCACTTGTCTCCCCTCTCTGACTGCTGGACTCCGGCTCTCTCAGAGTTCTCCTGACCCCTGCGGCAGCGGTGCCTCTTCAGGCCAGACCTGCCCTGGAAGCTCTTCCCACATGCAGGACAGCTGAAGTGACTCGCCACCCGGTTGTGGACCCTCTGGTGGTTGTGCAGGATACTGGCTAGGCGGAAGGCCTTTCCGCACGTAAGACACACATACTTTTTCTTCTGGGTATGGATGCGCGTGTGATTGCGTAAAGCCATGGGGTTAGTGAAAGGCTTAGAGCAGAAGGTGCAACTGAAGTGTCCTGTTTTGTGGGTGTTTTTGTGGTTCAGGAGTGAGCCCGCATGGCGGTAGCTGCGATTACATATGTTGCACGTGAAAGGCCGCTCCTCTTTATTTGAACATATATTTGCTTGTGCATCGCCGCTGCATGAAGGTCCATCACAAGTGTGGGCTGTCAGTTGGTCAACAGAGAGAAAAGCCTTCTTACATTCCTTACACTTAAAGGCTCTAGATTTTAGGCCCCTCCTGCCGCCGGCCCCATCCTTTCTGAGATCTGCACAAATGTGGGCTAATAGCTGCTTCTTTCCCCTAAAGCCTTTTCCACAGTTTTGGCAAGAGTGCTTTTTATATGCAAAGTGGGTGCGCAAGTGGTTCTTCATTGCTAGTTGATTGGAGTATGTGTTGTTACAAACAGAACAATAATATTCACCTGTTTTATGGGAGTTTCTGTGGTTGACCAGACTTCCTGCATGGCGATATGTGCGTCCACACTGGTCACAGGCGAAAGGCCGTCGTTCGCCTGTGTCCTCCGATTTGACTGAGGTCTCACACTTTGTTTGTTCTGTCTTCCCTTCAGGCAGTTGCCTGCAGCGTCGAGAGGAGGTAAAATCCTGATTGGCATTAGAAGTTAAGGACTGCATTCCTCCATCTGACTTGGTCCCATTCATCTGCATGAGGGCCTGAATCTGGTTGTTGAGTTCCTGGATTTTGGCTTGGTTCTCTTTGTGCCTTCTCAGGTGATTCAATAGCTGCTTCTGTATTTTGAAGGCTTTCCCACACTCATGGCAAGTATGTCTGGGGAAGGAGACAAGGTGTATGGTTAATTCTATGTTTGCAAAACAGGGAATAGAGAGGAAACAAGGAATAGAGCTGTGATGACAAAACACATCCACAACACAAAAAACACTCTATATGCAACTCTTAACTTTTTAAACAATTATTTATCATTTCCAACAAGCATTAAAAGTTTGCAACATTGGTGAAAAATGTAAGACTTTTACAAGTAATTAATAATGTGCATTTTGGTTTGAACTAACCTTTTAATATCAAAGTGGGACCTCTGGTGGTTTTTAAGGGCCAATAGGTTGTAGAAGCGTTTCTGGCAGACGAGACATCTGAATACACCTGTTTTGTGGGACTTTTTGTGGTTAAGGAGTGAGCCGGCATGTCTGTATGACCGCCCACACTGATCACACTTGTACTGGCGCTGTTGGGTATCAACAGCTTCTTTGATTCGAGTTGTGTCTTCATGCTGGGTAACATCATTTACTTTCACTTCCTCTTCACCATGTGTTGACTCATCTTTCCGCTCAGCTGTACAGCAGTGGTTTTCAAGATGATGGTAGTTGGTGCAAAAGATGCCACAGCTGCCACAGATGATACTCTGTGCTTCCTCCTTGCCTCCAGTCACATCACTGTTGTTTATTTGTGAATTATTAACATTATCTACCTGGTCCTTGTTGTGCAGAAGCTGATGAGTTATCAAGTCCTGCCTATTAGCAAAACTTTCCCCACATGTGCTACAGATCATCATCTCTCCAGGCTCATCATCTTTCACCTCTTCATGGGAGGACATGGAAGAAGGCCCTGAGCTTGCAGGAGTACCATGGGACTGGGTGTGCCCTCTGAGATGGCTCCTGAGAGCCCTCATGCTGGTGTAGCTGTTTCCACATATAGAGCACTGGTAAAGATCTCCATCGTCATCCTCTTCGTCAGCATCATCACCTTCTCCGCCACCACTCAGCGGATCACTGCTCATATTGTCCTGGAAATTCTGTTCAAAGTAACTTTGGTTGTGGCTACCATTCAGACCATGGAACTCTACATTACTTGCTGGATTTCCAATGGCACAGTGACCATTACTGTGCTGGAAATTTATATTACTATCATAGTCACTGCTAGTAGTGTCATGTTGCTGCTGTAGCAGTGGGCAACTGTGAGACTTAATCCCTGCAATATCTGCAAATGTTTCGCCACAGTCTGCACACATGTGCCTCTGCATCAGGTGTTCATTGTGAGGTAGATGCACAGTCATATCCTGGGAAAAGTCCTGATTAAACTGCCCCTGGTACAAAGCTCCATTGCTGTGGTCTGCTCCTTTCTCTTGATCTATACCAAGAACAGGGTGAGCACCATCTTCTTCCTCATCTTGAGAGGAGTAGCAGCCCAGCGGGTTATCAGGAGCCAGTGGCTCTGTGGAGAGCCAGTCTCCCTCAGTGATGAGGCTAAAAGATGACGGCTGAGCTTTGTGGAGACGAAGATGACTTTTGAGGGCGGCCAGGTGAGGATAACTCTTTCTGCAGATGGAACACTGGTAAATCCCGACCTGATGTGACCGCTTGTGGTTGATGAGGCTCCCAGAGTGCCGGTAGCTTTTACGGCAGATCTGACACTTGAAGGGACGCTCATCAGAATCTACAGTTGAAGTCTCTTCCATTTCAGTTGCATTGTCAGTGTTTTGTGTGAGCGTCAGGGCAGGATTGAGAATGCTTGTGTCCATTATTGGGGGTTCTCCCTGAGTACTATTGGAGGATGGTGTTTGATTATTGGAGCAGTCTGAGTACACATGACCGTTGCTTCTAATCTGCTCCTGCGGCAGATCAAAGCCACCATGATTATCAATTGATGATACTGAAGGAACATTGTTTATCGGAGAGGCATAAAAGTTTGACTCAGGCGATGCAATACTGTTGTCATATGATACATTGTGGTTCTCTGACATGGTATCTTGAAGTCCGAATGACAGAGATGAAGAGTTATGCATTTGGATGTGTTCCTGGAACTCCTCATCATTAGGGAATAGAACCTGACACAAATGGCAAAAGTTTACAGGAGCGTCTTGGCTCTGAGGTGAAAACTGGTCCAATGGTGTGCCTGCGTATGACCCGCCCAATGAACCGGGGTCTGTCCCACTTCTTGCCTTATGAGTTCTCTGGTGGCTGTAGAGAGCAGCCATGTTATTGAACAGTTTGAAACACACTGTGCACTCAAACATTCCCACTTGGTGAGTCTTTTTATGATTGGTCAGGCTTCGATGATGTATGTATGATTTGTCACATAAATCACATCTGAAAGGTCGATTTGCTGCATCGTCAGAGGTCTCGGATTGGGCATTATAAAGAACCTCATCCTTGTCCTCGGCTGGGCTATCTTCTGTAGAAATCCCAACACTGGCTGACTGCTCACTGAGCTGAAGAGGGTGATCGTTCTCAATTTCATGTGTGGGATATTCCATGTCTACCTTCCTATAGGACTGCTCCTTTACTCGCCTGGCAAGATGAACTCTCTCATGTGTGGCCAGCTGTGTTGCCAGACGAAAAGCTTTCCCACATTCTGCACAGGAGTACTTTTTCTGTGAAGTATGGCTCCGGAGATGACTCTTCAGGGCCAAAGCGTTGGAGTTCTCTTTACCACATACGTTACATTGGAAAGAACCCACTTCGTGAGTCTTTTTGTGGTTAGCTAGGCTACCAGCATGCCTGTAACCACGTCCACATTCATCACATTTAAATTTGCGTTCTTCCTCTTGCTGAAGGTGAGCATCCATGTGCTCAAGCAGACTGGGCATATTAGGACATACTAGGCCACATTGCTTGCAAGGAAAACCTGTTGTCCTGCCAGGGTCCTGCACTGCCATTACAAGATAATGACTGAATTACGTGCACCAGACACAGAGTGTATGAATATGCAGGAGGGAAATGCATTAGATGCCTTTAATGTCCATATAAAAAGAATATTTTTAAGATCTTTACGATAAGGTCCTAGGACTTCCCAGGGAGGTAACACGGCAGAGGATGTTGAGATCCAGTTCCACACAGTTAGGACAGTGACTTGAGGTCATGAGAAGCAACAACTGAGCTGTTGAGGACAGAAGAGAGGCCAGTTAGTGTTGTTGTGAATGTATGTAACAGTATTCAGTTCGGTCCAATGAGTCATGTATAGATTCAGATAACTAAATACACATTTCCCTAAACATATTAGTCTTAAATCACGCTAGAATACAAACACCTTAACCTGTACTATACTTCTGTGTCAGTTCAGTAACATGATAACAATGAACATATAATCATTTTTCTGCTTCGAAGATGTTGATCCCTAATTTAAGTCTGTCGAAGTCAGTGAATCTTTGGGGGGAAAATGCCAGTATGTTTGGTTAAAAAGCGTCTGAGGCAGCAGGTAACCGGCATCATGGACACACTTATTCAACTGAATGCAGTTAGCAGAAACGGTACACAGCCTTACATGTTTTGTTACATCTCTGCACCAGCAGGCTAACTGAACTAGCTATGTCAATAAACCGGGAGACCAACGCCTTTCTCTACAGATTTATTGCCACTGCAAATACCCACATCCTTCGACATTATAAACAAATACAGAACGAACATAGGGGCAGTCGTCGAGTTATAAGCAACAGCGAACAGGTTAACTACGGTTAACTTTAAAGTGTATAAGGAAACAGGCAGCTAACGTTAGCGCGATACCAGCTAGCATAGCATGGCTAGCTAAACAAACATTGCACCAAAAAGCCAAGAAGTCGTTTTCAACGCGGAATCACAACGTCAGCAAACGCGTCAACTCAAATACCTGCAGCAGCGATGATTCAACGCGAGCCTCCGAAGATATGTTTTCATTCATCATTTTGAAAACGTTATTTGTATGTAAAGGGCAACCCCCTTTTTTAGTAATTGTCTTTTTTTTTCTTCCATCTCCATTTCCACATTGCTCTTGTTGCTAGGAAACAGGAAATGTGCAGCAGAGAAATACTTCCCTCTCAAAAGCGACTAACCCAACTTAGGTGGGCTAAAAGTTGAGTCAACGCGAACTGCGGCGAGCTCGGCGTTAAAGTAATCACAAAGCAAATATTAAAAATGAAAATAAAAACCGAGCACTTTAATGTTATTCCCACTATTTTGCTGCTGGTTTTCGTAAAACTCATAAAGCACCGCCAACGTTAGGTTAGCTTGTGTAGCGTTAGCCAGCGCTGCCATTGTAAACTATACTCTCTTCAGCTCGGTTACCAACATGTTAAACAGCCTGTTAGCTTTATTATGACTGCCATGTTTTACCAGGGGACTCTAACACATTTAAATGGGTCTTATATTAATATTTTTTACCATTAAACGCATTAAAATGTTGCACACTTGGCTTGCCGAGAGCTTTCGTCATCATGGTCCTAGAGCCGTCCCCCATCCTGCAGCCACTCAACAAGCAATCACCGTGTCTCAGAGTAAATGCAGCCGTGTACCTTGACGTTTTCCCAGGCATTATCGACCAACTATTAATGTCCTGATTCAGGTAAGAAATGCCTTTATTTCTCAAAATGCGCACAAGATGCTAAGGCAGCTAATTCGAGCTAAATCCACCCCGTATAATCACGGACATGTTGATGATGACACTGTCGAGTGAATTGGTACAGGTCCTAAAGCCAGCCATTTTGAGTTAGTGAAAATGTTTAGCAAGAAAGCTAGCGAAAATGAATACGTACATATCGTATCCGGTTGTTAACACCAGCACACTAACTCGTGATCTTTGATCCTTGTCTCCGGTCGGGCACATGCCAGTCATTCATACACAGCGATCTCTGTCATTACACCGCCAACTTCCTCTGGCATCAAAGCGGTTAGCTTATTGTCCCTGAGGTCCTAATGCCAGCCATTTTGTGATTTAATGCACACCCACATATTTCTGTTATTATATTAATATACAGATTTTTTTCTGGTCCACCATCAGCCTCTGTCACTGAAGATCTGCTCCCCTAATTCATATCTGTCACAGGACTTCATCCTGATGTTTGTGCAACAATCTTCCAGTCTCATATGCTGCTAATGAACTGTTTATTTACATAATTATTACAAAGGGTCTTTTTACATGATCTCTTTGCAGATATAAAGATGGCCTCTCCTCAGCCTGGCAGCCCACCTCTTGCAGAACAATACACCCCTCCTGCACAGGAAGAAGAGAGCCAGCAAGATGAAGAGCTGGTGAGGGATCAACCTGCAAAAAAACGTGGCAGAGGCAGGCCTCCGAAAGCCAAACCTTCCGTCAAATGCTCTGAGTGCACAGAGGCTTTCAGGAGTCTGTCGGCTTTGCAGAGCCACAAGCTTTCAGCACATGTAAAGGACCGTCAGCAGCAACACCCGTGTCCTCAGTGTGCTAAAACATTCTCAAGCAAGGCCCAACTCTCAAAGCACGAGCGCACTCACTCAGCACAGCGCCCCTTTCCGTGTCCCGACTGTCACAAGGCTTACAAGACGCCCACGGAGCTACGTAACCACAGCCGCTCTCACACTGGGGAGAAACCTTTCGTATGCACAGAGTGTGGTAAGGCCTTTATGCAAGCTATATGCCTGAGGATCCATATGACACAGCACAGTGGAGAGCGTCCTTACTCTTGCCCTCAGTGCTCCAAGAGCTACCCCACCCTGTCTAAACTGAAGGTGCACATGCGCTCTCACACTGGAGAAAAGCCATACTTCTGTGCCGAGTGTGGGAAGAGTTTTGCCGACCCCTCTGTGTTCCGAAAACACAGAAGGAACCATCAGGGCCACCGGCCATACGCTTGTGACGAGTGCGGGAAAACGTACACGGAGCTGAAGGACCTGAAAAACCACGAGCGCTCCCACACTGGAGAAAAACCATACCTGTGCTCAGACTGTGGCAAAGCCTTCTCCCGCTCCTCCTCTCTGGCCTGCCATCAGCGTATTCACTCCCAGAATAAACCCTATCAGTGTGAGCAGTGTAGCAAGGGCTTCACCCAGCTGTCCTCCTACCAGTCTCATCTCCGCACTCACTCCGGTGAGAAGCCGTTCCTCTGCCCACAGTGTGGCAAGATGTTTTCTGACCCTTCCAGTTTCCGCCGCCACCAGCGAGCCCACTTGGGTTTCAAGCCCTACCCCTGCGATAAGTGTTCCAAGAGGTTTCGGCAGCCAGCTGATCTGGCTGTGCATGAACGTGTCCACTCTGGAGAGCGGCCTTACAAATGCCAGAGCTGTGACAAGGCCTTCGTAGCATCCTGGGATCTGCGACGCCACATGCTTGTGCACACGGGTCTCAGGCCCTTTTCCTGCACCGAGTGCGACAAGTCATTTGCTGAGCGCTCCAGCCTCAACAAGCACCGGCGTGTGCACTCTGGGGAGAGGCCTTTCAAATGTGAGGAGTGTTTGAAGTCATTTGTGGTGTCCTCAAGCCTGCGCAAACATGAGAGAACTCATCTAGCAGAGCACGCTGAGCAGCAGCAGCAGCAGCAACAACAACAACAACAACAACAAGAGGAGACAGAGGCCGGGTCAGCTTCAGGCTTTCCTGCCCACACAACTCTACCTCAGTTCTCCTGTACTCACTGTGATGCTACATTTGGAAGCTGGGATGAAGTTCAGGCACATGAAAATCTTCACTCCATCGATTCTGCTCCTCCAACTGTTACCAAAATCGTGCCACTGGGCTCACACGTCTGTGAAACCTGCCAGGCAGAGTTTGCACAGCTGGCGGACTTGCAGGAGCATGAGAAGCAGCATCCCAAGCTGAGGCCTCATGTCTGCAACAGCTGCGGCAAAGGCTTCCTCAACAAATCTGGACTGCATAAACACCAGAAGATCCACTCCACCAGCAAACCTCACAGCTGCTCCCACTGTGGCAAAGCTTTTCTGTTTGCTGCTTATCTTCGCAAGCACTTACGGACTCATGCAAACGCTGCCCCAGCCGCCCCGCAACTCGGTGACATAAACATTATTCACACTGACCCTCTCCCCGCTCCCCCACCCCCCACTGAGGTTTCCCCCTCCACTGTTGAATCCGGCACCATATCTCTGACAGTTCCAGTGACTGTACCCGTGACTGCTTTTCGGACTCTGCCAGAGTGCTTAGTCAAGGAAGAGGGACTTTAATTTTTTTTTTCTTTGACTGTTTTGGAATTTTGATTCCACAAATATATAGCCAGCGGCCTTAAATCTTTTTAGATGATGGGTCTGATTTTGACAGAAGTGTTATTTTTCAAAAGAAATGTTCAAAATAGAGTTTCCCTCATGCAAATTACAAGCGCTTTGTCTCATGATATTCGAAAGATGTTATGTATAATGTTCATGTTTTAAAATATACAGTATACTGTACTATAACTAGCCTACTATGAAATTGTCTGTTGTAATGTTTTCATGAAAACGTGGTGTTAAACATTTATGCTGATCACTTTAAAAGTTCACTTAAAATGTTGTGATTTCAGATAAACATGTTTTTATAATGTGTTTTTAATTACAGCTTGTCTTAAATTCATTTTACATTTTGGTGGAACAAACTGTTTGTAACTGTTTTACTGTGTATTAGTATCGTCAAATTATCATATAAATTGTCGAGTTAAAAAAAAGTGTCAGTGGTGTTCCAAAATATTAAAGCAGAAGAGTGAAGTTTTTATACCAATAAATGTGTAATGTGTGAAAAACGGTAACGTTTTAGTGACATTTATTGTCTTTCCTTATGTACAAACCTGTTCTCTGTGCAATATTTCATTTGAAATGTTGAAGATGCACAGTGCTGCTTCGGTACGGTGAGGCCAAGTCAGCACATCTTATGGTGAGAAACTGTAACACATATATTGATGACATACAGTATCTCGCACCCATAAAAGACTGAATGCAAAGCGAGAGTGACAGTGTTCCATTAGCGGGCTGCAACTCTTTAAAGGTAAACTCTCTTATCTGCCACACTTCACTCCCATTTATTTTGAAGTGCATTAAGAACCACTTCATACGCACAAACAGAGAGTTATATATTTGCTTTGACATTTGTGAATGCTTAAATGAACACCTTCCGTGATTAATGCTTTCTTAAAATCCAGGACTGGGATATTGTCAGTTTTGAGTGTTGTTGGTTAGACATAAATATTTAATTACAATATATGCAGTGTGTTTTCCTATGTTCCATCTTCCCCGCTGTTAAGATTCCCAACCAAAACCAGGAAAGACAATGGCAGCCATAGTAACAGGTCTCATCCCCATCCTGCGGACTGCAGTGGATGCCACCGCCACCTACAAGGGCCGCTCGGTGTGGTTTGGCTTCTTGTGCATCCGCCTGGTGATCCTCTTCCTGGCCGAGCTGCCCTTCACCAAACTGGACGCTGACTTCACCTGCAACGGCACTATTGGCAGCATCTGCACCAAAGCCTGTTTTAATAGACACTTCCACAAACCTATGATGGTGGCCTGGAACTTCATCTTTGTCCTGGCCACCCTCTCTGTCCTGCTCATGGAGCTGTTTGCCTCCCACCTGCGCTCCCTGGCCCAGAAGAGGAACTCTCAGGGGAAGACTGATGTGGAGCTGGAGTCCCGGGGGAAGGAGGAGGCTCAGGTTGTGACCACAGACCCCGGGGGCAAGATGATCATAGATTTACACAGAAATAGAGGCGCAGTAGGCTTCTACCTGCTCAGCGTCTGTCTGCGTATTCTGATCGAGGCCTGGTTTGTGTATGTTCTGCTTTCTTGGAACTTGCCAGCACTGGATAATAGTCCATTCAAATGCTCGACAAACATCTGCTCGGAGTTACATGTTTGTGTTGTGAGGGCCGCCCCAGAGAAACGCATGTCTATTTATGCTCTGGCTTCCATCTCAGGCATGATCATTGTTTGGTCAGTCTCATTTTGTATGTACTCCATTGCTCACTACCTTTGCAATTTCTGAATATTGGCACTTCTTCTTCATTATTCTGATTTAGAATATATAAAATATATGAACACATATTTACTGTGTGACTATACATCTTTTGATCCAGTGCATATATTGTATGTTTATGTAAACTCATGCTTAAACCCTCTGCTGTATCGTCAAGTTTGGTTCAAACAATTACATTATTAAAACACAATGACATAATCAGAACTGTATTAGCTCTTCTGTCTGAGGTTTACATATGTTGTGAGATGTGTTTTGCTGACAAAAGGATTGAGGTGTTAGCTGCATGATGGCGTTTCTGAGTCAGGTCTTTGGTCAGCGCAAATAAGCTGCCACAAGTACGGTGTCAAATACACACCCATGTACACTGTATACACCTCAGCAGTTTTGATCTGTAACACTTAAAGGAAAGATTTAAAGACTTACTCTGAGAAATTAATGTCTATGATACAAATGACACTGTTTTATGTTGATATACTGTCATACATTATTTACATTGGGAAGTATTTGAACATTATTTTCAGCCAGATAGTCAAACGGCAGCATTTGTCCTTGTCATTCATGACTTGAGTTGCTTCCAACGAGGTAAAAGGTGGAGGCTGACTGTTAGAGTTTATGTTTATTCTTCAGTGAGATAGACTTCCTGTTGCTGTGCTTCATGGTATAGAGCAGTGCTGCACCAGCGTCTGTTAGAGACTGGTGGGAGGAGAAGAAACGGAGAATTATCAGAAGAAGTTAACCAAAACCGACAAAGTATTCTAGTGCTAAGAAGTATAATTCATAAGTACGTGACATGAATTACCTGTGAGTCTGAAATGACAGATTTTCTCTGGAAAAAAACAAAAAGTGTTTAATTTTTGGTGAGAATAACCAATGTGAAGCACTGAAGCTGATCAAAAATACTGTAAAAACTCACCCTTGTGAAGTTATGTATGTTGCTGTATATTGGCTCCATGGTTTTAACCCATTGTTGGTATGTCTGTTCGTCCTCTGCACTGCGATTATGCTCTCTGTGAACAGAGACACACTCACTTTGTAGAGAACAGTATCTCCCCAGCCTAACAAATGCTCTACTAGATTAGAGAGACAATCAAGAAATGAAAAAAATAAGCCTTGGGGTCAGTACTTACCAACCTTTGAATTACAAAAAAATGTTCATCAGTTTGAGGTTAAATGATAATGGTCTTAAAAGCATAAAAAAATCAACAGTTCATCAGATTAATCAGATGTATTTGAACATTTTAATGTTGGCCAGTTCATCTGATCTTCTTTTAACTTTTAACTTTTGCTCTCAGTTTCTGTAATGCAGTTCAGTCATATTTGTCACCTAAATTCATACTTTTGATCATAACATTTTATGCAAAGTGTTCTTAATCTCCTTTTTTTTCATGTTGAGTGTATTATAAAACCAGCAGTCATTAAATCCATTTGTCAGACTTCAGCATAAAGTAGCTCTCATTCTACATGTTGCCCACACGCTAATGTCAGTCAGAGTTTCCTCCATCCCTCCCGTAACTCACATTGCTCTCTCGATCAGCTTCCTCTGTAGCTCTCCCTCCATCCTGGCGTCGAGGAAGCGGCCTCTCACAGCCAGAGCGGCGCTGGCCTGTGACGAGTTGAGCTGAATGATGGCCAAAGACAGAGAGGAGAGGGCTGCCGAGCTGAGAAGGAGGGTGACACTTTTATCATAAGAGTGCTTCTCAACATTTACGGCTTCAGCCTTGCCATTGTATTGCTGTGCAAACACGCACATGGGCCACTTTGTAGCCGCTCAGACGATGAATTGCATGACCTTCATGCGGTATATGAAGCGGGCAGACATGAGTTGAGAGGATCATTTAATGTTAGAATAGATGAGAAATGTGATTTACATGGTGCAATCCTTTCTGCATGATATGAAGGCTCCGGTATCTCAGCAACAGCCAGTCTCTTTGGGTTTTAAAAACTGCTTTGCCTAAAGGTTCACTAAGATTGGTAGAAAATAATACATCTAATCAATTGTTGTCCTCAGGGCGAGCGAACGCCTCGTTGATTAAAGATGTCACAAGATAATGAGTTGTTTAAGCTTTTGAGGAGGCCACAAGCATGCAAACAGCTCAGTTCAACAGTGGTGTGTGTGGTTGAGGCAATCTCAAAACACTGTGATTATGGAAACATCATTATTACCTGTCATCAGTAACATCTCGGTCTGAAGTGATCACTCTGAGCACTGTCTGTCCGTTCCTCCGCCTGTACCTAATCTGCAGCTGGATGGACACACGGCTACCAGAGGCTGGCACAGACACTGAAAGGAAGGAGATAAGGAACATAAATATAAATCACTACAGTTTCAGCTTTTTAAAACAACAATACAATTAAGTGTTTTTATAGCACAGAAAAAGAACATATTGCTTTTTGATCATAGTTAATATGGTATCATGGTCTGGTTTTGTTTATAGATTTTTTTTTTTACATCTAAAAATCAGTGCTGTAGTGGTCGATTGAGTCAAACAGCGCACTGCATCTGGTGCCCTCCACAGACTTCTCTCCTCAGGCAAGTGTTCAGTGATCCCAAATTCAGGTTGAACTGCTGCAGAATAAATTTGTGTCTATTGTGTCTAAGTGTAGATGCCCAGCATAATAGCTAAGCTGTGTCTGTATGTATTGAATTATGAATCATAGTCAACAGGCATGCTAGGGGCTCAATGAGGTTGTGCCAAACAGTCATGGGATGTATGGGGTCCTATGTTCCCAGGCATGTGGTTGTCTTGATATAAACTGACATTGTAAGAGATTGGTAAGTGCTATCTTTACAGTTTAAATTGCAAAAGAGCAAAGGCAGATGGACGCTAACATGCTGATGTTTAGCAAGCAATATCTACCAGGATTCATAATCTTAGTTTAGCATTTGCAAATTAGCACTAAACACACAGTACAGCTAAGGCTGATATAAAGTTAGTTTTGCAAGTATTTAGTTATAAAGTGTTGGACACATTAAACTTTGACTTGAGGGTGCTGGAGGAAAAGTCACCAGAATTTATCCTCAAGGCACCTGTAGCAAATTTCATCCTATAGTTGTCAAGCTATTTCACTGAAAACCAAACATGTCAACCTCATTGTGGTGCTAGAGGAGAGAGAGGTGCAGTCAGGAGAGATTTCATCCTCTGGGCACCACGAACATCTACGAAATGTCAGTGTAATCAATCCATCTAATAGTTGTTGAGATATTTTAGCCTGGACCAAAGTGGTGAACCGACTGATGAACAGACTTACACTGCCATCCCTGGAGAAAGTCCAGGGTCCAGGGAAAAAAGTAATTTAATGTGAAAGCTATTTCTTACTAACTGACTAATAATAGTTCTTTGTTTGCCTTGACAGTTTCTGCAGTTGGTATTGCCTTTCTCAGAAAAATTACTAATGATTTAGGAGGGGACCTTGGTAGCTCATCTGGTAGAGCGCGAGCCCCATGTACAAAAATGCTGACCGCAGTGACCAGGCTCTTTGCTCCTTGTCATCCCTACTCTTGCTCCCCACTTTCCTGTCACTCTTCAGCTGCTACTATCCAATAAAAAGCCCCAAAAATAAAAATTACAGGTAGTAGTGTGACATGTACGTCCAGATGGAAACATTTCTGTCAGACCAAAAGTCGTAAGACATGGACTTCTGTTTTTTACTGGGCCTATTCTTGTATTTTTCCTCAAGCCAGCTTTGTTAGTTCTTGTTTTCAAATGTAATGACCTTGGCTCCCTCTCGGTTTGGCTTGCAGTGATCTCAGAATGAAAACAGATTTTCCTGGTTTGCATCATCAGTAATCACCATTTTGCAACGTTCAGCAAGACCTGGTAGCACACGTCACACCACCACCTGTGATATTCCTAAGGAAGGCAGCAGAACTGCAAGTGAAACTGGCAAGGTAAAAAAACCATAATGTTTATTTCTGTTAGCCTTCACGTGGTCACTTGTTGGAGTTGAGGGAGAGTCTAGACAGTGGCTCCAAAATAAGGAAGTGAGAAAATAAAGAACGGTCAAGAGTGTTTGTCATAATAAAGTTTTGACAGGTAATAAAAAAACAAGTTCAGGCCAGTTCTTCTTTAGCCACACACACTATTACACAGTCAGTCTGTCAATAGTGGCATACAAGCTTTTTCTCACCTTCTGCGTCCTGTTCATTGGCTCCAAACTGGAAGGTGATCTCTGTATCTGGGTCCACATTCCCCACCTCTTTGGTCCCTTTGTGTCCTGACTCCTTCTCTCCTCTCATACGCCTGGACCGAAGGAGAACATCATTATTAACACGTTAACAAACGTCAGCGCTTTGTTAATAATATAATTTAAAGTGCATTCATGTGCCAATTAGACCACTTGATGAAGAATTTTGTAATATTAGTATTCAAGGTATACAAAGCGCAGATCTTACAGTGACTGAGGCAGCAGTAATGTGACAGTACAGTGTGTCGCTATGGTCCTGTTCTCAATCATTTGTTCCAACTCTGTGTGCAACCTTCTAGGACTTGCTATCACCACCTATCATGGACAAGACACACAGACAACAAGATCTGGTGAGTGATATACATAATCAATATACTGGCACTTATTATACAAATCTGTTGTAACACATCACAACACTATTACAAATCATCTCTTACTTTCCCTCCAGTTCGATCAGCGAGTCTTCCCAGCTCATCCAACCTGCAGTCTGTTCCCTCAATGGACAGCACAGACACTGTCACACTAATGAAAGAAGGACATTTCAGTATGAACTTTATTACAGCATATCACAAAAAAACTCTTATTAGTGCTAATGTCAGCTCTAGTCCCTTTTTTATGTTGGTGGAGCAACAGTGTTTCAAACTTGTAAATATATGATAATGTTCTCTTCAGCAGTATAATAACTGAATGCTTGTTCCACTCTTGACATTGATGAGGTGTACCACCAACCCCTGATTGGCAGCATATTCCCCCAGCTCCTGGTAGAAGATGGTGGATGAGAGGAGGGTGCGAGCATCATTATCCTCTACCTCCAAATTCCCCAAGTCTGTGTTGGCCTTCCCATCTGTACAGATAATCACCTTTGAGATCAGCAGGGATAAAAATGAAAAAAATTACATAGGATTGTCTTAGGACCATACCAAAGTTTTTTTTCGCATGTTTGTGACCATTTATTACAAATCATATACATTTTAAACCACAGCTCATCCAGTTCAAAGTGCAGACAGATTTATGCTCTGCAGTACCACACAGCAATAACTTTTACCATGGAGTTGTCCCAAGTACATACAGTACACTAAGTTCAGCTTGACATTCATAAAAATTAATGCAAATAGATGCAGGAAAATATTTACTCTGTTAACAGAGAAGGAGCCAGTAATGCTGAGGACGGTCAACAAACTTAATATTCAAATAAATGGAGTCTACACATCTGTTATAAACATATTTATGCTGTGCATGAGCTTTGCTGAATATATGCAACTGTGCAGTGCTGTGAAATATAAATGTTCTACAGGTCACATGTATAATGTAATGCATGTGAACTGTAAATGGGCTAAAACATAACACATAAACTGGTATGGTCCTGTCAATAAGACTTAGGACCAAACCGACCTTGGATCCTGGCAGTCTGGAGGCTGTTGCAATCGCCAGGAGAGCAGCTGGACCAAGAGCTGTCGCCCCACTTTCAGATAATCTTTTAACAAGAGGAAAATCACAAAAAAAGTGTTTTGAAGGTAAGGTTACTACTAAGTAATAAAAAGACAAAAACAATTGATTGTACAGCAATCACTGCTTTTTCTCTGACCCCTGAACTTCTCTCTGTAAGTAGTCCTTGGTCTGTGAGAGAGGAGGAGGACTGGGGAAACTGGCTGCAGCCTCTTTCAGATAGTCGCTGTCAGCCAACTCAGCATCACTCAGGAAAAGGGATGTGAAATTTTCATATCCATGCAATGTCACCTGGCAACGCAAACATTAGGGGATGAAGGAAAGCTGCAGTAATAACTTGACTTTCGCACTTGCATTTCTATATGAGAAACTAAAAAAATAAATTAAAAAATGAGTCACACACAAACTTAAAAGACAGAAATCGAATAGATTACTAAAAAAACTGAGGAAAATCAGGAAGAAAATGTAAAATGACCCAACAAATCTATTGTGAACATCTATTTTTAAAGATCAAACCTCTAATGATAATTTATGTACCTGATGGTTGAAGGTGATGAGTCCCACTCGTATGTCAGGTTGTTGTTCACTTAGACTATGAACACACTGCAATACGGCTTCCTGGACAAACTGGTTAGAAATAATGATTTTAATCACCAAAGGCATCTTGATTGCATCTTTTGTCATTATTGTGATACTCGTACACAAACAGTAAGTGCTGATTTTCAAGTAAACTTAACATAATGTTGTGTTGGTTAACTCTAACTGGTGCTGCAGTGTGTTAGGACTCACAGTGTTCATTTAAAATAGTGGTTCCCAACCTTTTCTCTTCAAGGGACCCCTTTTGTATCATTGAGTAAACGGACAACCCCTTACTAAGTGACATGTGTGGATATTTTATATTGTGTCGAATGCATAACAGTAGAGAACAGCTGATAAACGCTTGTGTAGTTTGTGTAAAACGAGCAATTTGGATGAATTTTGAGCAGATTATTTCCTGTGAGCATCAGACATGTTTTGCTTTTAGGAACTTTTTACAACCCTGTGTGGAAGGCTCCTGTGAATGTAGCTCAGGTCTTCAGAGTTTAGATATTAAATACAATTTTAACTGTAAAAATAACAATTTCCCTATTTTTTTTTTTTTTACAGAAATGAACAAACTGCTACTGTGTATATTTTTTAAGTTTACAGCCCTTGGAATCAAAAAGGCCTCACAACCCCCTGTGAAGCTTTGGCGACTCATAGTGGGGGTCGGGACCCCCAGGTTGGGAACCACTGATTTAAAAGGACACTTATAAATGAAAACAAAAACAAACAAAAAAACTCACTTGTAGACGGGATCTGTGGAGAACCGTGTCTTTCAGTGACACCTTGAAACAACAGAGATTCATCATTTAAGACACCACAGCTTGTATGTGTGAATGCCAGGTGTCATAAACAGTGAACAGATCAGTGTCAGTCAAGTGGTTTTCACCTGGGAGGTGATGCTCATGGACCCCGAGATGTCGATGCAGAAGAGCAGCAGAGCGTCCGCAGCGCACAGGGGCTTTTCATCAGGGCTGAGCAAAAAGAGGCCATCCTGGTAACCAGTTAGAGGACACTGTGGTATACTGGGAGGGCTGGTCAACTCACAGGGCTGACAGAAGTAACACACATCAACCTGTAGTTCAGCAGGAGGAGAGAAGACACATTTCACAAGCCTGTATCAGTCAAACCCGTTATCCATTGTTTAATTATGTTATGATCAATAATGCTTAGGCCTGACTGCCTCTAAGAGTTTGTCAAGCCCTGTGTTTCTCAGAAGTGATTACAAAGAGATTTACAGTTATTATTCACATTTAAAATCAATGAATTCTACTTATCTGTTTCAGAATAAAGGTCAAATGAAATTCGGCATGTAATTACCACATTGTCATAGCAGGAGTCCAGCACAGATCCACACTGGGAGCAGGAGGTAGGTTCTCCTTGTATGGTCTGCACTGGAAATATGCAAACATGATCATCATTACAAGCCAATAAGACCGAAAGTAAAACCATATGGCAGATAGTGAAGGTTTTATGGTGATAATAAAAGTTTACTGACCTCTTTCCTCTGAGAGTAATTTTCCTAAACTGACAAGGACCACATTAGGATTCCCTGGCAGGAGCCCCTTATCTGCCGATCCTGAGTTGGGAACAACAAGAGCATTAAATTAAAGAGCACTGGTGTAAAACATTCAGAATGAGGGTTATTCTTTTGACAGCAAGATTGTTACAATTACCTTCACTAGTAGGTGATGAGACAAGTGACGGGTCTGAAAGTGATTTTCTGGATGATGAGGGAGATGAGTGGGATGCAGGTAACAGAACCAGGTAATCTGGCATTGACTTCATAAATGAAGGTCTGGGAGGAAGTGGTGGGGCTGAGGTTTGAGAGCAGAACAGAATAAACTCGGATGGTTCTGGTCCTTAAAACTATTTGCACAAAGCTGCTCAAAATCTTGAAAATACATTATGTTGTGTCAAAAACCTGCAAAGAACATTTTCTGTTTACCTAATGTCTGGGCCGAAATGCTGCAGATATCAGCTGGTAGCTTCACCTGGAGGCCCGTACCTTCTGGTGTGGTGTATGAGTAGTTTGCGTCCGTTGGTTGTGCATTTAAATCCGGTTCACTTTTAGGGAGGTCATAGGTAAATGTCTGACTGTTGGTGTTGGGGCAAGGGAGTGGCTGGCTGTAAGAATTGGACTGGCTGTTCCCTGCAGGTCTCATGTGTGGTGGAAGAAGAGCTGGGTAAAGCCGAGAGGAGCAGTATGTTAAAGGAATAATTCACCCAAACAACAAAAACTCAATCATCTCATAGGCTCCTGATCAAAGAAATACCTGCATGAGCACAGTGGACCACCAAACACACAGTGATTTATCACCTGCAGCTCAATCCCTGTCCATGATTCCAATTGGCCAAAAGGGCTAGTTAACCCAAATTATGAAAAAAACAAGACATTCATTCAATCATGATGGACTCGGTTTTAGTGCCATAGCGATCCCTGGCTTTATTTCAGGTTTCAAATGTGTATATGTTATAAATGTCACTTATATCTGCTTGGCTAGATACAAATGTTTTGTTTATTGGCTGATCGGACCCTTGAACATTTTTGACCTCGTAATGTTCTTTTTCCACCTCATTCACCATTCTGTGTTATTTTAAGTTGTAGTATTGGGCAAGCTACTGAGATACAAGGTAAATGCAGGATTTTAAGATCAATTTTGCTGAGCAGGCAAACGAGGCAGCATTGGTTTGAGAAGTATGCTTGTGATGAAGGGACAGGAGAACCAAAGTTTCCTGATTAAGGCTTTTAAAGGTTTTATTTATACATCTATACATTAGCTGTTATGTAAAGGTAGAGGGGAGTAATAGGTTAAGTTTTTGTTTTGACAATGCGCTGTGAAGTAGGAGAAACTAAGGTGTCAATGAAATTCATGAAAATCCCAAAAGGTTCTATCTACATAATACAAACTAAACTTGTTCAGTCATACTTTTTCTTACATTGCCACATTCACTGTACCTGTTTTTCGAGGAGGTGTTGGGACCAGCTGAGGAGGAGTTGGAGGGATGAATGAAGCTGTGTTCAATTTACTGTGAAATGCTGCATTTTCATAGAAGGGGGTGGGCTTCACAACCTTCTTCACTTCCCTGCTCTTTTCCAACTGTTCAATAACCTTGGGAGGGGATGGGAGGGATTTAGGTGATTTGGCTTCTGCAGAGTTTGTTGGAGGAGGAGGTGGAGGTGTGCGAGGACGTATCCAGTTAACAGGAGGGAGAAGAGCTAAAAGGGATAAAAAATAAATTATATATACAGTATGCACAGTGGCTGTTAATTTAAGATCACTTTCTTGCAAGAGAAATGTGAGCAGAGATAAAAACAACTGGTGCAGCGATGACCTTTGTGCTGTGAAGAAAATGTGACTCAGGTGGCAGATGGCTTTTACTGAGCAAAGCAAAGTATCTGAAAGGAACATCTCCTCTTAGATAGACAGGAGAGGTTGTGTGTGTCACTGATTGCATAATACATAATGGTACTTAACCAACCAGTCACCCAGAAAGCTCTAATGAAAGGCAAAATCCACCTGCAGATGCTTTATGTATCATCAGTCTTCGATATTCAAAACAAATTATTTTGTGATTAGGTATTGGACTTCTTTAATCTTTCTCTCAGCTTCTTCTTCAGTTAATGACTTCCTACATTTCCCAGAATGCCCCTTGACTTCCTCTAGAGAATGGACCTGACAGCAGGTGAGGTGTCACTCTGCCTGTCACTGTACAGGCAGAGTGAAAGCTTTGAGTCTCTGGTGGATTTCTTCAGACTGGTGAGTGAACAAAAAAGCAGTTTGACACTAAAATTAAATGTTTCCTGTTAATGTTTTAAATTTGAAACATTTTAGGTGTCAAACTCCATGGAAGCTGCATTGGAAATATCTGTGTGTCTGGCTATTGATCTGTAGAAATGAGAAAACTACAACTAAACAGCAAAGTGGACCCAAGAATGGGATATCTGTCTTTTTAAACGAGTGTTATAAATTGTGATTTTTTTCCTTTGATGTCATGCCTGGGAATGTTTGAAAGAAATCCCACCTGAGCGTTTAATGACATTGGTATTGGATCGTTGGCTGTCCTTCTGAGTCACTGATGGTGGCACATAAACAAACCCACAAGCAAATTCCATCGTGAGTTTACGTGCCTGTGAGAGAGAGGACATTATTTAATAGAACGTGACACCCAATAATACATAAAAGAGGATACATTGACAATATATATTTATAAGTAATTATATAAAGTAATTCCTAAATAATGTTCTCTGGGGACATGTGACAATCAGTTTTTAACATGTTGACACACCTTTAAGAAGTGCTCAAATAAAATAAACTTAATCAGCGTGAATAAATCCTCTAAAAATAAGACATACTTACACATGCAGAGTCATTTGAATGCTGACCGTACAGCACAACTGTAAACATAAAACCCGCCCAGGTCTCCGTAATGATTCAACTGTCTGTGACGTCTTATCATTCACTGTGTGTGTCTCAGGCATCTTGTCCAACAGGTTTCTGTTCCCAAGAGTTAAAGTGTTGTGCTGGATTGGTTGGTTAGTCAGATATTTATCTCACATTGCCTAACTCCAGTTAAACATTCTATGAATGTAAATAAAGTGGGTGGAAGAATAGAAACAGGGAAGAAAAATGTCGAAGGTCAAGATGACTCGTGCATAATGGCCTTTCACAGTCTTTTAAAGGACTACCTCACACTGATTATACTGTAAACGTATTCCATGTGCAGATATTGCTGGTGAAATATATGTTGTCATGCTATTATGTTCCTAATCATATAACTCACTTAAGACAATAGCCTTTTTAATTTTATATAATATAATCTGTGTACTGGAGGATTAAGAAAATAAGAAATAAATACCTAAACTGAAAAGCAGATTTTAGGCTAAAGGACAATATACTTGTATGTATATATATATATTTTCATTTTCTTTCAATATTTTTCTTGATTATGTTTGATTAATGTAATTAAATGTCTCTGTGTATACAATATATATGCAAAATAAAAACAAACAGACATTATAACTTTGGTCTTATGTGCTATAGAAATATATATATTTAACAAGACTAAGAGCCTACAGCCATATCAGCTGTGCTTTAAGCTAAATGCTATCATCAGCATGCTTACAAGCTGTAGTTTAGCAAGTAAAATGTTCGACACATTCACCATTTTAATTTAACATGTTAGAATGCTAATATGTGCTAATTCGCTTAAAACACAAAGTACAGGCAAGGGTAATGGGAATGTCATTAGCTTTGTCATGAACCAGAGTGCTGGACAAATTATTTATTTGACCTGCTGGAAGAGATAGATAAAAAGTTAAGGGATCACCAAAGTGGTTATACTTCATCCTGTTGCGATGAAGCAATCGATCCAACATTTGATGAGATATTTCTTTCAAACCACAAATGTCTACTTCATGGTGGCGCTAGATGAAAAGTCAGGGGGGTCACTACAGTCGGTAGGGTTCATTCTCTGGGCACCATGAATGTCTGTTCAAAATTTCATGACAATCAATTGAGAACTGACCCACACATAGGCAAAAAAAATGTCAGAGGCAAAACAATTATACTTTTATTTTGGAAATCCATTCCCTCAGTCAAAGTAATGTTTGTGTACTTCTACATACTGTAATACTTATTAAGTAAACATTAACCTTGCGTGCACACATCATTGTAAACCTGTGCCTGGGTAAACCTCATGTATCTTTATCAGCTATCTTCATTACTGTGACCTAGTGACTCAGACGTTAATGGCAGAAAATAAATATCCTCTCTTGTTCTCCTTTGTTTTGTCTTAACGTGCACACATGCATGCAGACACACGTACACACATACACACGTACAGCTCATGAAAAAACATACAATACATTCTAGTCTTAAGTTAATTCATATTGCAGAAGTACTCAAACCAAGTAGGTTAGAATATTAAGGCCTCAACAAGTTTTACATTTCAAAAATGGCTGATATTAACTCAAGAATCAATGTGACAACATACAATAATAATAAATGTTATTCTTAGAAGATCTGAAAACTAACTCTTTGTGAGAAATAAGTTTAGGACATAGCATATTAGACAGCGTGACGTCACTCGGCAACTTCAACATAATTTGCTGGGTAGAAGCCCTCTTTCCCTCCGCTCAGAACTCCTCGACACCAACCCTGGTCGTCCTCCTCCTCCACCTTCAGGAACACTTCACCTGGGATTGAGAATATATGATGATATTAAAAACATGTTTTAATAAAGAGTAACTGTGTCATAATATGCAGAGTAGTCATTTTTAGCTTACTTTAAAGTACTACACAAACAACCTTATGGGAGTTTGTTAATTAGCCACCTTACTCATTGTTTGACACTTTGACTATAATAGTTCAACTAGAATTACCTCTGTAGCAAGTAATAACAGCACACTACTCCATCTTAAAGCCAAAGCATTTTTGCAATGACGTTAACTGTTCTAAATAAAACTCCCAAATCTCTTCTAAAATGCAAAACCTGTGATGTATAGGTTAAGATCTAAATAGTTAGTGGTTTACTGTTGCTCAGAAGTGAATTGTTGAGCAGCTTGCAGATGTTACTCCATGTTTCTGTCTATTTAGATTTACTATGACTATTCATTCACTTTCAAAATGCCTCTCTTAAAGCACATTTTAAGTGTAGCTTTTTGTCTTTGCAGAATGTGAATTATAGCCACAAAAATAAGGTTTAGTGCTCTTGAACTGTACTTTCTGTACTTATAAGTAACATTTTCAACATTTGGATAAAGCTACAACACTATGATACAGTAAGATCATTGAAGTCGGTAACATTTGCGAAAGGCAAAGGTTTTTCACTACGACTCCTTTGATTCTGGTGCCAGTCTAGATAATGGTAAAAAACGTTATCTTTGAACTTCACTACCCAGAAGTTATGTAACGTGACAGCAGTAAACTGCACACTTATGTTTACTAGCCTGTCTGTCATCATTTCAGAAGGACGTGATGCATATCTTGACTTCCCACTCAGATTTATGCCGATACAATGGTTGTAACTTTATATAATAATCTTGCCTATTGTAGCTTTAACATTGAAAATAACAACACTGTCTAAATACATCTGAGAGTCATCACATCACACTTTATGTGTCACCTGCTTTAAAGGACAGCTCATCACCCTCCTCTCCCACGTAGTCGTACAGAGCTCGCACCTTCACACCCCCAATCATCACACTAACAGGAGAAGAAAATTGATGTTCTAAAAACCACAAATATGACTTGGAATAAAATGTACATTGTTCTTTTTTAAATGAACCATATATTGAAAGAACTACACTGGATTACTAACGGTCGGCGCTCTTTTCTTTTCTGGTCTCTCTTCTTTCTATTTAGCTTTTTTACAGGTGGGACCCACTCCTGATGGAAGAGATACAGTTTAAGTTTCAGAATAATCAACTCTTAGATCAAGTACAAGAGCTATAATAAATGTATTACAAGATTGTGCATCTATACATTTTACTATATTGGCAGACTTCCAAAAAGAAAGAGAAAAACACTTATAGAACAAGGTTTGCACACAAATACATGCATTTTTCTTCGTCTATGTGTTGGAGTAAAACTGTGTAACACACCTCAATCTTTGGCCAGTCGGTGGGCATACCAGGACCGTGGTTGTTCTTCCACCATTTGACATCATCTTGCTCACTGATGGACATCAGAGTGTGGTGGAGCTCACTGTACACTGCCTTCACACTGACACAAGGACACAGAGCTAGTTTTTGATGACACAATACACTTCAGTCCCACACGCTATACTCACAACCCAGTCACCTGTTGGTGGCTTACCTCTCATTGTTGGTGATGTCAAGATGTCTGTGGATGGAGAGGAAGGCCTGCTTCAGAAAGCTGACCCTCTTCCTCTCCTCCTCCTGCGACTGTTCAAAAATGGCTTCCATCTCCTCCATGTACCGAGGCGTGTAGGACGTCACATCCTCCAGCACTTTCTCGTATTGCTCTCTGCTCTGCAGGCAGTCCACAAGAACAGTTTTATAATAAAAAGCTGCACGCTCCCTCAGGAAGAACATCTGCTGTTTCTTTAAAGGACCAGTGTGTAGGATTTAGTGGCATCTAGTGGTGAAGTTGCAGATTGCAACCAACTGAATGCAACTCAGTCTTTCTAGCTTAGAGGAGGAACTACCATAGCCGTGAAACTCTTGAAAAACATTCTGGGCTGTAGAAACAGCATCAACATTGCAGTCCACAGAAGAGGACCCACTCCCTCTGTGGATAAGAATGTATCATTCTAAGGTTACAACAACACAGCAATCCTTATCTCAGGCGATTATACACTAATGAAAATATACCTGTGAATATTATATTCAATTTCTGCCAATAGATCCTCCTAAATGTTACACACTGGACCTTTAATGGAGCCTAAAATGTATAAATCATCTGGTGCTCTTTACTGTTCCCATGCTTGGCTCCATAAACACTGAGCAGTGTAACAATAACACATCTCCATACAAGGGAAAAGCTTGGAACAGAAATTTAAGGCTGGGGCTCATGTTTAGAGTTGATAGTTCCTCAACTGAATAAATATCACCACATGCAGCAGGCCAACAAAACCTTCTTGGAATGCAACAATGTTTAACTCTGTGGCATGTGAATCAGGCATTGTGAATTTAAATGTGCTGTGAAAGAAGCTTTTATTCAGCATGCATGAAGTGGTGCAGTGTGATAACATCCATCCTCACCTTTTCTTTCGCCTCCGTGGCCTTCTCTCTGGCATCTGTGAATTTCTGCTTTTTCTCTGGACTCATCTCAGAGTTTTCGTTTGCTTGTTTCTCTTTCTCAAGGGCTGTTTGCTCTTTCTGACAGCACTTGTGATATGCTACTCGGACCTTCTCCAGCTGTTGAATACACAGTCACACAAATTATTTACTAAAGGAAAAGGTTGCAGTTTTCAGAGATATGCTTATTAGCTTTCTTGCTGACAGTTAGATGAGAACATCGATACTGCTCTAAACATTGTATGGTAAATGTGAAGCTATGGTGGATGGACAAGGTTAGCTTAGCATAAAAACTGGAAGACAAGGGAAAACAGCTAGCCCAGTTTTGACCACTTTTTGTCACTTTGTTTTTAAATTTAATACTTAATATGGCATTTAGCTGTATTTGACAGTAGAGCGAGACAGGGAGAGAGAGGGGATGACATGCAGCACGGGGCCTAGGCTGGCCTCCATTGAGCTACTGGGGTGCCTATGTTCACACATTTTTAACTCAAAGTTGAATTTTTGGTCAATTTAGTTAGTGAAATGTCTAAACCCTCACTGCGCTGCATTATTATAAACTATGAAGAACTAGGGGTCACATGGCGCTGTCTCTCCCTCTTCGTCTCCTTGCAGTTCTCGTGCTTTAGTTCCGTGTCGTTGCTGTGGTTGCTTTGACATACAGTATGTGGTGTTTAAGTTCGCTGTCTTCTGTGTACATTTTTTTTGGTTAACTATTAGATATTACACAGGCAATAATACAAAAAGCATTAATAATGTGCACCATTTCCTATATATAGACTGACCCTCTCTCCCAACCCTCAGCTGTGACTTCCAGCGTCCCTTCCTATCCCTGTCTTTATGCTAAGTGTAACTACCTGTCTCCTGGCTGTAGCTTCATATTTACTGTAAACACTGAGGGCAATATCAATCTCCTCATCTAACTCTCAGCAAGACAGGAAATAAGTGTTTTTTTCACAGCACACTGAAAACCCACTATTGTTGTGCACAACACATCATTCTTGACCTCTGAAATCATTACCAGTACTTCAAGGTCCCCTCACTAGCTTTTTTCAGAGCTTTCAACCACATCTCACGGCCTTCATCAGCAGATAGAGTTTGCAAACTCCATTGCTAACAAAGAGATGCAGATGAGATGAAGTTGAAAGCTTCGGAGAAAAAGCTAGCAAGTGGAGACACACACACACACACACACACACACACACACACACACACACACACACACACACAATACAGATTCATTTAAATGTCAAATGTGCTGGACCTTTATCAACTTTTTGGACCAGGGTTTCTGCGCACGTGAAAAACTTGTGCTGTTGTCATAGCTCTCCCTGAACCCACAGAAGATTTTTTTCGGAAAGGTCTCCTTCTGCCACGTCTTCACCCGGTCCCCCTCCTCTGCGACCAGTGACTGTGAGATGGAGGAGTGGAGGGCGGACAAGCGCTCAGTGGAGGTGAAGAAACATTGCCACGCCCTCATGAGGGAGCCATAAAGTGGCCCTGGGGAAAAAGAAAAAAAGACGAAGGAATGACATAACAGAGAGCACTGGGGTGAGTCATGGAACCAGTAGAGAAATAATGACCTCCATTTGTTTACTGAGGGGTTTCAAACAAGTACAGATGAAGCCATTTAATAAGAATCAAGCAGTAATTTTAACTTGGTGAGAGCTGACATGATCAAAAAGGGCTGGGAATCATGTTCTCTATTTCTAAGCCACAAAAGCGCCCCACCATGCAGCTTCTTATACTTACGTGAATCCACTATGGACTTCCACTTGCTGCTCCACTGGCTGAGCTGCTGGGCGTACTGTTTTTCTACCTTTGCTCTCTCCATGAAGCAGGCCACAATGTCATTGCATGCCTGGAAGGACTGTTCAGTTCGGTGCACTGTACGCACATAATTCCCCGGCTGGGAAAATGAAAGATGGTGATGATGTGTAAGAATAACAGACCTGAGTTTTACAGTCACAAGCACACATGAGCACTGTTTTGGATAAACTATCCTTGGGTGGCAGTTTTCTTAGATTTAATTATAAATGTAATCCTCACCATCCAGAAGCTCTGGTTCTTGGGATCTTCCCGCGGCTCCTTGGGAAGGCTCGCCATCATTGGGAACGTTTCTGTTTCAGAAAGTAAGAGATAGATGTTTGTGTTACACAACAGAGTTGCTAGACTGGTTACAATGCAAAACAAGCAAGGAAAGACAGCTTTTATTGGCAGACAGGTGACACTGATTAACATGCAACAGGTTGGGCGTCTAGACATGGTAAAATGTGTAGATACAGTAGGTTAACTTCCTCATCAGCAGAGCTATTCCCCCTGTATGGCAGGTGTACTTGATAGGGAATAATTGGCGGTCGAAACCTTGCAGTGTGTGTGTGTGTGTGTGTTGCTCAGCTTATTGCCATAACAACTTAGATGATCCTGAAGACATGTTATTTACACTGTACAGTGCTTGGATACATCCAAACCCCCTGCGTGAGTAAGGGGAGTGCCGTTGCAGTGGCAGACTGGAATTCACAGGGGTGGGATCTGCCAGCAGGAATAGAACAGCTGCTCCGGCATTCTTCCTGTTGCCTTCCCAAAATAAACAGCAAGGGAAAGGTCATCTTTCCCTTTGCTCTGACTAATGCAAGGCCTATTAGAACCAACTGTCTTCCACCCTGAGATCACGACCGCAAGAGCGCAACAGGGGCATATTTCTGATTTGGCAAACAAATGTAAATGCTGGATTTAAAAGGGACGAACTGTCCAAATAGCAGACATTTTTGCACAGCATGTAGAGCAAAGCACAAGTGGCGGATACATTAGAGGGAGAAGACAGATTGAACAAAAGACGGGAGATGCGTGCACAAACATGCAAAGGACGCAGTCACATTAGGGCCTATTTCTGTCTGGGCAACACGTTGACACATTGCTGGCTGAGTAATATGAAAATGACTAACCACACCTCATCACAAGACTGAGCATGACGGAGAGAGAGGCTCACTGAGGACTTTCTTTCCTTCAGCTAGCCGGTTTTCAAACTTATATTTTTATGTTATCTTGTTGTTTTTTCACTTGTTATGAGCTCCTGTAAGTGGAAACATGGTAGGGTTAGATTCAACCTTTTGACTTAAATCTTCTGTTTGATTCGGTTCTTGTGCATGCAGAGGAAAGGAAGCAGCTCATCCTTTCGTGTTGACACAGAGAAGCATTCATATCAAAATAATGCTAAAAGAACCTCCATCCACAAGCCAGTAAGAAGCAAAAAGTGGCAACCGAGAAGTCATGCCTGGGAGAAACCAGCACTTACATTTTTCTCTGAAACACCAGTGATTACTCAAGTGACCACTTGTTACTGTAGTTCAGGGGCTTGCTGAGGATTTCTCTCCATTTCTCTGTCCGTCTCCCCCTCTCCCAGTGTGCCTCTCCTCCTCTAACACATGCTTCTCTCCCTCTCTGCTCTCTCTCTGACCCAATTTTCCCTTGGCACTTAAAGTTACACACACACACACACACGTTGTTGATTTTAAAAGTGGGTGTGAGACACTGAGACAATGCAAGCAAGCAGAAAGGGGGGGAAAAAATTAAACAAACCAGAGCATTTGCATGGTAATTACTCCGCTGCTAATTGGCTTTAGGGCAAACAAAGAGGGAGGAAGAAACTCACCTTGCTTGCTCTCCTCCCCAGTCAGCTGTGATATTCTAGTTCACAGTCATGCCAGGATGAACTCTTCTTCCTCTTTCTCTCCTGTTTCCTACTTTAACCCCATCCTTTGCTTCTTTAACTCACTGGCTTCCTCCCTATCAGGCTGTTTAGCTCTCCTTTGACTGTCACCCGCTCACTTTCTCTCCACTCTGCTATTAGAAAAAACAGCTGGAAGAATCCCCCTCCTTCTCTCTCCCTGCCCGTCCCTCCCTCTGTCTCTCTCAATATGGTGCTAATGAGATGCTGAACCTTCATTTTGACCGTTCGCTGGTCACAGAATCGTGTCAGTGTGGCACAGAGTCATGTGAGCTTATTAGTGAGTGTGTGTGACAGCAAGGGAGGGGTGGGGGGTCCCATGAACAGCCACATTAGCCCCGTGCCCCTTTGTGACCTGCCATTCTCTCTGTAGTCAGGCCTAGAAAGAGCATGTCCACCCACACACTGTTAACTTATTCTGGGATTTACTCTTCTGGATATCAGCCAGAAGTTAAAGGAGAACACCAGAGTTACAGTTCACTCCCTGCTGCCTCGGTCTGGTTCATACTTCTCAGTCTTTTAGCGATAAAGGCTGTGTATAATTAGACTTTTCAAACATCCACTAATTTTTAACAGCTCATCCAGAGCCAGAGTATCTCAGAGACTACTTTCACCACCCACTATGCAAGAGATATTGTTTCTCACTTGCAGAGGCTTAATATCAATGTGGGTATGTGTTCCTTTAGGTTTTATGATGCCAGACATAGAGATAAGTTGATCTTATGTGTTAAAAAAAATGGTCAACCACTTGGAAATGTAAGTTTATCATTCTACTTAACCTAAAAAAACATATTTTTGTGATTTTATTGGCAATGAAAAAAATAATTAAAGTATTGGTTTGTTTGTGGAATGAAGTCACTTAGACTCTGCCACAGGACCACAATGGATTGGAATTTTGTCTGTGGTGCTCACAACATTGGAAAATCACATTTCAAAATTATAGGAGTGCCACTGTTTGCTCAGCCCCCATTGACAATACAGATATTTGACAAATTAAAGGAAAAGCCTTATTACTTGAATGAAAAAACATAAACCCAGATACTTGTTGATGATATACTAAGGTCTTCACTCTCAGCAGATCTCAACCGATACTGAATTTCGTTAGCATATTTCAAGTATCACACCTGATACCTGAGCTTTGTATATCAGCTGATACCGAGTACCGATCCGATACTTATGCATTACAAAATAGATGTATATTGTTATTTTTGAACAAGCGTATACTACTAAGCCTATATGATTGCTATCATTGTTGTATCATGGCCGTGCTTCAGGTAAAACCCTTTGTCAGAGTCAGAGAAGGGCGAGTTGTGACTTCGCTATCCTGAGAAAAAAAAAGGTGAGTAGAACACTGCTGGGAAGTAGCAGAGTCGTGTTTCTGGGCTAATTAATAATTGCGACACCCAATACCAAATTTTAGGTAATAGCACAGGAATTTACAATACTGATTGGTTTCGAGACAACTGTACCAAATCCAAACACCTAATCGAGATCTCGAACCAACATGTTAGTGCTCTCCACCACCACCAACAAAACACTAAATGAGGTAACATCTTTTGGGTAGAGTGGTGTACATCCTGCAGTGTTTTTCTCCGTGTACGTTTTTTTCATACCGTGAGAAGAAAAATGGCAGCTTGTGGCTTCATCCCCACAGAGAAAAACAAGCCCCAACATCTGTAATTTTGGTAACTATGAACAGACTCAAACATACAAAGAAGGGGTAACCTGGACGACTGGCATAAACTTTAAAAAACATTATATTTACAGTTTCCTACCATGAACCTTAAACTGGCCACCATGCTAGTGAACAGTGTTACATTAGTCTTCTTCCAAGTTGTTTTTCATTGTTTTTCATGCCTTACAGACGCTTTCAGTTTTCTGCATGAATGAAGCCACCGCTTGCTTTGAATTAAGCCATCTCATCTTCTCTCTCCCGTGAGCTCTACTCTTTTGTCCTATTAGCTCACAGAGCCTGATGGGAAAATAATCCTGGACCTGAAAACAATGTTGTGTTCAACCACAGCAGGGCTGAGACGAGCTGCTGCCAAATGACTCAATTCAAATACAGCACTTTAAATTGGATCATTATGTGAATCTGTCAGAAGAGGGAATCCAAGGAGAAAAGAGAATCACAACAGGGCCAAAGTTTATTTTAGCATTTATTTCAACACCTTAGTTGTACCTCTATCATATTGTTTATCAGTATATACTGTATTTTATTTAAAGCAAAACTTTATATATATATATATATTTATATATATACCTTTAATCTCTGCATACTTATGCTCATACTGTATGTAGTCATATTCATTATGCATTTTACTAGACCTAAAATACTCTTTTAAATCATAGTATGTAATGCTTTCTACACTACTGCTCAGTCCTTTCACTTCTCAGAATAGTCCATCATGAGATAGCAGTGAGGCAACTCAGCAGGAGAATACAGAGTCATCATTTTAAACTCACATAGAGAGAATACACATTAACTAACATGTGTCAGCTTCACTGGGGTCACCACAGGGCGAGCAGTATAGAAAGCATTTACAGAAAACCCAAAATGAAACATAAACAAAAACAAAGCTTCAAAGAATTTGTCCACACTATTTGGAAGACAGAGATTCTTAAAAATGTTTACATACTTAATATTATTATCTTTATTATACTATATTTTTATGTTATCATTGTCATCATCATCAATACATATAGATCTATAAATGATGTGTTTTTGCCTTACAGTTGAATTAACTGCAGGGAATGGCTAAACTGGCATATTTTAAAAATCCAGGGCATTCATATTCCTCTCTATGTAACATATACAGTATTTACGTTAAATTTATCACTCTGAAAAAAACTTTTGAAAAGTGGGTCAGAATATTTCTTTTCAAGGGTTGATGTGTGGAACAGGAAAACGTCGGGATTGTCAACTAGTGAGAAAAAAAACAATGTTTTGTGACCATTATAAATGTGTTTCGGAAAAAGGCATTAGAAAGAGAGAGGTGTAGGTCAGGGAAAGCATTTGGCCACCAATGCAGGCTGACGAACACTCACACGCACAAAATCAGACACACAGACTCACAGAGGCTGAAGGTTGAGGAAGTCAGGCAGACAGAGAAGCAGTAAAAAGCCCTTTTTGATCACTGCACCTGCTGTGTGAGAGAGAGCGGTCCACATTATGGCATCAAAGAGGATGGATCCATCCCTTGACCTGTGCTATGGCCATAAACACCAGTAAAGTCTAAGAAAAGATGGTTTGCAGTTTTTAAATGACACGCAAACTCTTTTAAATTCCTCTCCAATATTTTCTCTCCCTTCTATAGAATAATCAGGAAAATAATAAAAGGTAATTTCACAACAATATTTTCTCAATATTTGTATGAATTATGCACAACTTGAATTCAACAGTTATAAATACCCTGACCAGTTTGAAATGAGTGATTGCGATCAGCACTTAGTACAAAACAAATGGTTCTACTAATAGTGAATCCCGTTTAACATGTAAGATATATTTAGTGCTCGCAAAGTACATACATACAAAGCTTACTGGGGCATCCTTTGGGGGAATATGGCAAATATATAAAAAGAATACAATTGTTGTCTACCATTTTCGTCTATCGTCATTTACAAACAAAACCATTTCTCTCATATTCTGACTTTGGCTCCACTATTCACAGCCATTTGATACTCTGATCTGCTTAAAGCTACAAAACTGATGTTAGGATGTGACTCTCATGTGTTTGCTTTCACCGCAGCTTCTGGCTCAGCCACAGTCGGTAACATTTTATTGGGGTTTACCCTTTAAGCAGCAACTTTTCAACTTTTCTTTGAACTCAGACTGAAGTTTTCTCAGCTCTGCTAAGCAGCAGATGGTGTGAGAATCCATCTGTCAGTGTGTGTGAGAATATGAGAGTGTGTGTATATATGTTTGTCTTTTACAGCACAAAACGGTGTGTTAATTAAATGCCTGTCCATAGAAAGTTTGAAAGTATATTTTCAGTTGAAGAGCGTCATTTTCACATGATATTCTTAATTTCTTCATACCCTTTCTCGACCAATAGTCATTCCACAAATTTCATGAACAGTATTCTCTACATGTATAGCACATTTGCAAGAAAACACTTCCCTCCACACCTCCATGCCTTAGGCTTAGTTCAACACAACCTGTTAGGGTCCGCTGTTCTTCTCTTGAACATCTTCTGTTAATGTTCATCTTTGTCAATTTCTTTCTCTCCCTTTCTTTCACCTTTGAATCACCCCTTCACTCTTTCAGTCTGTGTCTCGGGGAGAAGTAGTGACATGCAAAGGGGAGGAGAGCCGCCTGGGGAGAGAAGGAGGGCAAATGAAAGAATAAGAATGGGCGGAAATGAAATAAAGGCGGTGCAAACTAAATAGGGTTAATAAAACAGGTTAATAAAGAGAAAGGGATGGGGAAGATGAGATAACTTATCAAATTATATACATCTAATGAACAAAGAGGGGATGGTCCAGCTAATTTGTATGGAAGGAATGAGACACTTGGACTTTCCTTCACCATCCGGTGCTTCTTTTTTGACCTTTTGACCCCGTTGCCTCTACGTATTCCAGAGTCTATTAGTCCTCCCTCACCTGTCAGTGAGTTTCTTCAGCGCCCTCTCGATGTTCATTCGGTGTCCCACTCGTGTCACTCCGAGGTCCAAGAAGTCATCCTTGGTGAGCGAAGGCAGATGTGATCCATCTATCTCATTGTCTATAAAACGCTCTCTGTGTTCACCCAGGTTTAGGTAAGCCAGCCAGTCGGCCACATCATACTTGGTCCAGTAGGGCAGGGGTTTGACAGCAAAGGGTTTGGCTGGTGGAGGAGGGGTGAGATGGGGATAGTTGAGGCAGGACGGGCTGGGGGGCAAGTGCATGGGGGAGGATGCGCCGGAGAGAAAATGGGTGGGGGAGAGAGATCGGGAAACAAGTAGGGGGTTTTGACATGGCACACCAGATGGGGAGAACAATGGAGGAGTTGAAGCCTTGTAGCCATCTCCTAGAGGGAGGCCAGGCGAAGGAGGAGTGAGGGGCCCGGGGAAGTCGAAGGGGTTGCTGTAGACAGGTGTACTGGGAAGGATGGGGAGAGAGGAAGGTCTGGGAGGGGTGGGGTTT